GGGGGTGGGGGGGAGGGGAGAGGGTGGAGGGGACTTAAACCCTTGACCTCAAGAAGGTTAAGTTTTTACAAGATAATGAGTACCATTGGACTAAAGGCCCATTGATTTTTTGTGGTTCCTTTAGATTCCCAAGGATGCCATAGAAGTTGACTGACAAATACAGTTGGCTATTCGATTTCCATATGGTTGCATATTGTTCAATTCTTTGTCTTCTCTAATATTATGTGTCTCTATATGATACGACAGTCATCATAAAACAAAATCCCCTTTTTTACTGTTATAAGAGATGAACCTCAATGTATACATAATGTTTAATTAGTTGGTGGCATCAATTTACTCGTATTAGCTAGAAGAATGCCTACTATACATGCACTCCTTCGTATATTTTGTGTATGCAGGATCTACTTAGAATGTTGATATATGAAGATTCATTGTAAAAGACATGTGAAAGAGTACTATACTCTTTCCAATAAGATAAATTTCAACTTGGATTGTCAGGTGCATTAAGCATTAGAGCGGTCTACATTTACATTCCAAGCATCTTAGAGATAATCATTACTATGTAGCTGAGCTGCCGCAAATTGAGGTTGTCATTTGTAAGGGGGGATGGGTAAGCCGGTGGTTGTTTGAAGGTGTTCTCACAATCAATTGCATTGTCATAGGAACCTGTTGCCATAACATTAACAGCACTATAGTCACCAGATTTCAAGGCATTTTTTGCTTCCTGAAAATTGTCGCCTGCACTTTGGTAATACTCAGCACACTTATTATAACGGGCCCTAAGACGAGGATCATGTGTTCCCAGGGTGAGTGAGTGAATCTTTACACTAGTCCCAGTGGCATTGTAAATCGCCAAGTCAATTGCAATTTGTGCGAGGCCAGCTAAATTTGCTGTTTCTGTACGAGGATCAGATCCTAGAGACTTGAAGCAAAAGTTCGGATTTTCAGCCTGCCGACAAACACGAGTTACTAAGGGACCACTGGCTGCTTCCGTTGTATTTGGCCTGCAGCCAAAAGGACTGATGAAGAAAAGAGTAATTAGTAGGGAAGAACTAATGGAAGACCAGGCCATTTTCTTGAGGTACTCCAGCCGATTGTTTACTTCCTCTGTATATATAGATATCAACACTGCATGGGGGGGTTTGCTTGGAAGTAACTACAGCTTGTGCATCTCTCTATGATTTTCTGTATGTAATCTCATTCATTGGTTTTGGTCTATATTTCACAATTGTATGTAATTGGATTTCTGAAATCTGTCGTTATTTCTTTTGGCATTGACCACCTTGTGAATTTCTCTAGATTATCTGTATCTGATTTAATATGTTGGTATGGTAGGTCATTAAATTAGTCATCAGTACGAGCGTTATTGTAATTAATTAGATTGCTCAAATCTGATTGTTTGAAGTTCAGTTTTCTTGATGAAATTTACTGGTCAAATGCACTCTGGAATTGCAAGCATTTATGGTTAATTTATTTAATTAATTTACCAGACAAAAATTCACATATTTCCTCTGTTTTTGCGTTACGGGTCAAAATTTGTTCCACAATTTGGAGCATAATTTGTTAAAAAAGGGGTAGAAATGTCACATTGTTAGCATTTGAAAAAAAAAATAAAGGTGTAATGTAAGACTACTTTTTGAGGATAGAGTGAAAATCTTGAAATTTTTAGTAGCAAAGTATTATTAGTCATTTTTCTATTTCCTTTTTTCTTTGTTCTTTGTTCTTTGTTGTCTTCCAGTACAGAAAATTGTAGAAAGGAGACAAGGAGCAGACCATGAAATCTTTATATTCAAAATTTTAACAAGGGGAGAGGGAGGGGGGGTCTAAGTGTTGTAAGCTTATGCTGTTGTGGTGAGTCTTATCATTCAGTTTTGTCTTCTTCCATTAGTCCATTGAAATTTGTGTTTTGCTTGATTGTATTCTTGCCTTATATCTGAGTGGTAAAATCCTTAGAGAAGTTGGTAATTAACCTTGCTCTGCCTGGAGAAGTTGGNAGTTTTGTCTTCTTCCATTAGTCCATTGAAATTTGTGTTTTGCTTGATTGTATTCTTTGCCTTATATCTGAGTGGTAAAATCCTTAGAGAAGTTGGTAATTAACCTTGCTCTGCCTGGAGAAGTTGAGCCACCCTAACCTATTCAAATTGATATGGTTACTGAACTGGCTACACGAGGTCATTTTGTGAAAATTTGTGTTCAAATCGATCTAAGTGCTCCCCCACCCCCTCCCCAAAAAAAAAGGTTTTTGAACCCGGCACTGGTTGTTCTATCCATCTAAGAAATATCCCACTGCTAAGACGAGCGAGCAATGGAGAAGATAATATCGAGTAAGCATTTTCGTATAAACCTGATCATCGAACTAACATAATATTATTCTACACATGGAAGCGAATTTTAACATTACTCTCGAAAAATCTGCATTNTGAACCCGGCACTGGTTGTTCTATCCATCTAAGAAATATCCCACTGCTAAGACGAGCAAGCAATGGAGAAGATAATATCGAGTAAGCATTTTCGTATAAACCTGATCATCGAACTGACATAATATTATTCTACACATGGAAGCGAATTTTAACATTACTCTCGAAAAATCTGCATTAAGCAGATAGAACAAGCAATAACTAGATAGTACCTTCCAAAAACAAAGAAATAACTAGATGGTCATGGGTGTGTGACTAATAGCCTATGGGCAAACCATTTGCAGCATTGCTCACAATGCTACAACGGAATTCAAATTCCTGAATCTTTTCTGAGAGTTTGGATGAATCGATTAAATATCCTGGGAAGCCACCATTGTTCCAAAATGGAAAGTGACCGTTATTCCCAAATGGAAACTGGCCACGGTCTTTGCATTCCCTGGCTTCCTCCAAAGCGCGGTTTGCTTCTTCAGCTACACGGTGATAGTCACCCGAATGCAAGTACTTCTTCGCGTGTTCAAGGTCACGTATGGCTTTCTTATATCTTCCAGAACATTTCCTGTAAACTTTTCTTTGTTGATAATCATCTGTGCTTTTAACCAGGCCTCTCAGCAAGTGTTGAATCTCTTTACCGGTCTTAAGAGCTGACTTAATTGATTTCTCGATAATATGGTGAGAATCATCAATGGTTCCAGAACCATAATGGGGTCTCAAATCCTCCAAACAGTTACGAGGATTTATCGTGCCATCGCATATTCTCCTCAAATCAACACTCCTTGATCCTTTGTGGTGATGATATTGATGCGCCGCCGCAGAGGGACTGACGACCACGAACACTAGAGAAAGGGAAATCAGCAAAGAAAGAAAACCAGAAGTGGAGGCCATAGTTATACTATCTTCTTTATGGGTTATATTCTTTTTTTCGTCTTGGAAGTTGGATGAAACTGTGATCATGCAAGGGACTATTTATAGGTATTCAGAGCACAAAAACAACGAAGTCTTCAATTGGGAAATGTTGATACGTTTTCTTACAGATTGAGAGAGTGGTCATATTGTCNATTCCCAAATGGAAACTGGCCACGGTCTTTGCATTCCCTGGCTTCCTGCAAAGCGCGGTTTGCTTCTTCAGCTACACGGTGATAGTCACCCGAATGCAAGTACTTCTTCGCGTGTTCAAGGTCACGTATGGCTTTCTTATATCTTCCAGAACATTTCCTGTAAACTTTTCTTTGTTGATAATCATCTGTGCTTTTAACCAGGCCTCTCAGCAAGTGTTGAATCTCTTTACCGGTCTTAAGAGCTGACTTAATTGATTTCTCGATAATATGGTGAGAATCATCAATGGTTCCAGAACCATAATGGGGTCTCAAATCCTCCAAACAGTTACGAGGATTTATCGTGCCATCGCATATTCTCCTCAAATCAACACTCCTTGATCCTTTGTGGTGATGATATTGATGCGCCGCCGCAGAGGGACTGACGACCACGAACACTAGAGAAAGGGAAATCAGCAAAGAAAGAAAACCAGAAGTGGAGGCCATAGTTATACTATCTTCTTTATGGGTTATATTCTTTTTTTCGTCTTGGAAGTTGGATGAAACTGTGATCATGCAAGGGACTATTTATAGGTATTCAGAGCACAAAAACAACGAAGTCTTCAATTGGGAAATGTTGATACGTTTTCTTTCAGATTGAGAGAGTGGTCATATTGTCAGAAAGGCTTGCATGCAGTTCTCTTTTCCATATAGTTGGTAAATGTTTTTTTTTTCTTTTGGGAAACCGATTTCATTTCAAGCTAATAATCTAATTAATGACTTGTAACGATATGTTAGTGAAGGCAATAGTAATGAGAAATAAAATCTAATTTCACCTCAATTACTCTCTAAATGTTGGAAGTAGAAACTGAAATTGGTTATGAAATTACTCTCTCTCTCTCTCCATTCTTTTGTTCACATAAACATTTGTATAGTAACTTATATCAAGGACACAAGTAATTAATATAGTGTATATACGTGCGTATACTGTACATATGCTCTATATTCTTTATTTGATCATAATATACATGTCACCGTCTTGTCCATGCTGCATCGAAGAGTGACGACATGGGATAACCATGGTCCATGGATATTTATGCAAATAATGTTCAAATAAAAGATTCCTGATTGATTGGTTAAAATGGAAAAATTACTAATTTAATACATTCCCGACTCATTTGGTAGTCCCTTAAATTTGTTTTCCAGCAATAACAAATGGAATGGAAGACCAACAGCAAGCAGTAACGACTACTCTAATAGTTGGAAGATAAAAATAGACAAAGAAATTATTTAAAAAAGAACTTTTAATCTCGGACCAAAGTTTAGGAGGAGTCANGTACATATGCTCTATATTCTTTATTTGATCATAATATACATGTCACCGTCTTGTCCATGCTGCATCGAAGAGTGACGACATGGGATAACCATGGTCCATGGATATTTATGCAAATAATGTTCAAATAAAAGATTCCTGATTGATTGGTTAAAATGGAAAAATTACTAATTTAATACATTCCCGACTCATTTGGTAGTCCCTTTAACAAAATTTGTTTTCCAGCAATAACAAATGGAATGGAAGACCAACAGCAAGCAGTAACGACTACTCTAATAGTTGGAAGATAAAAATGGACAAAGAAATTATTTAAAAAAGAACTTTTAATCTCGGACCAAAGTTTAGGAGGAGTCGAACAATTTCGATGTTATTAATAGATATGATAAAATTTTGGTTTGCGCCATCATGTGCATACACCAAAATATTATGACAATACAGTCAATTGATTAGAGATTGCCAAAATGATGCTACATAGATTCACAACATTTTGATTGCTTTCCCGAAGTGAAGATGGTTCAGCTGGTGGTACTTCAAACTCATCCTGGCAATCTTCAACAGAATTCAGGGCAGACGATGCTCGATCATTAAGGCTTTTACCAGAGTTCAAGTGTAGCTTAGCATCTTCAAGGTTATGGATGGCATCACCATAAGATTTCAAACATGTTAGATATTGAGCCTTCAACTGACCTGCTGCTTGTTTTATGAGTCCTCCTATCACGGTGTAGGTTTTTTTGGCTGTTGCAGATGCTAAGTCGACTGAGATTTGTGCAAGGCCTTTGATATCTGCACTGGAAGTGCGTGGATCGGACTTTAAAGCTTTCAAGCAGAAAGAAGGATTAATGGTTTGAGAGCATAGCTTTACAAGATAGGGATCGTTTGCCTTCTCTATAAACCCTTCAGATAAGGGACTGATGGATAGAAACACAAACAAAAGAAAAACCTGCAAGGAAGAACTACTGAAACTCATTTCTTTTGATTTGGCACTTGCTTTTTCCTCTCTTTTATCACCTGGAATGGTATGTGATACAAGGGGAGCTAAATAGTGGTTCAGATGGTAACTAAAAGGGAAGATATTGAGTGCTAAATTTTGTGAGGATTTTCATAATTATGTAGTGCTAAAATTGGCAGGATAGCCTTAAACGTCGTGACTTTTTTTTTTTTTGTTTTTTTGTTGGAAGGTAAATAAATGTATGGATAAGCAAGAAAAAATACAACTGCCACAAATGGCCTTCTTTACAATCGTCATTGTATCACTTCAATCTACTGTCACTATGAAACAAATAAGTGGAGTAAGAAAATCAATCTAAGNGCAAGAAAAAATACAACTGCCACAAATGGCCTTCTTTACAATCGTCATTGTATCACTCCAATCTACTGTCACTATGAAACAAATAAGTGGAGTAAGAAAATCAATCTAAAAGAGTACTAGGGTGTTCTTCCAGTACTCTTGTAGATTGAGTCAAGCTATAACAGGTGGACCTATAGACAAAAACTCCAAGCAAGAAACATCAACATGGGCTTGGAACCTGCCAACTGTGAGCTATAGCTCTGTTCTGAGGGGTGCTCTTGATCTTTAGAGAGATCAATCTGTTTTGCACCACATTCACAATGTCTTGCAGAATTGATGTTGCATCCCTGTATGCATTCCTAAATATTCTTCCATTTCTTTCTCTCCACACTATGTAGACATCTGTAGCCAAAGATATCTTTTGAATTATGATCTTTAGATATTTGCCCTGTCACAATATTTTTTTTTTTTTTGGGGGGCCTGGGGGGAGGGGGAAAGGAGTTCGAACCCTTGACCTTCAAAAGACAAAGTTTTAACAAGGTAAGGAGTACCGTTGGACCAAAGACCCTGTCACTCATTAGAAGCTTTTTGAACTAATTAACAAGGGCCATGAAGTAAGAGGCCAATTAATGCCGCATTTTCTTTTCATTCCAGTCCATATATTTGCTGTGAAAGGAACAATTGAAAAACATATGGTTGTGGTTTTCCTCCTCTGTTCCACAGAAAACACATGTAACACTAGTTTGCTGCATATAGGCCTGTAGCCTATCCTTTGTGTTCAATCTCTCCAGAACAGCCAGCCACTAAATGAAAACTATTTTGGGAATAGCCTTACCAAACTAGACGAGTTTACTCCAGCACACCTTTAGGGAAGGGGTAGAGATATTGCTCCAAGCTGATTTGACTGTGTAGTGACTATTGGCAGAGGCAGTCCACTTTACTTGATCTGGTGTTTGAGGATTAGGATTATAGTCTGGCATTGAAGTTAGTATCTCCTCATAACCACTAAACTTAGTCACAGGCCACTGCAATTGATTTCCACATATAATTTCCTCCATTTTGGCCTTAGCAGAAGAGTTGAAATGTTCAATAATGTCCTGTGGCCATATGAGGAGTAAGGGTCCATGGTTACTCCAGTTATCATACCATAAATTAGCTGTTTTGCCACCTCCAATCATGTGTTTGATGAAAAGTCTTGCCATCACTTTCAACTTTAGCAGTTTTCTCCAGTTCCAAGAGCAGGTCTGTAGCATTTTCACTGCCCAAAAACTTCTACTATTACGGTACACACCATTCATCCATGTTGCCCAAATGCTCTCTTATCAGTAAACAAACACCATATGTGACTAACCCCTTGCTTTGTTTCATTCATGGAGCCTCTTTAGTCCCAATCCCCCTTCATCTTTTGGTTTGGTAACCATTTCCCAAGCTACTTTAGGCCCCCTACTGCTCAAATTAGAGCCAGACCATAGGAAAGACCTTAGCAACTACTCCAATCTTTTAAGAACTCCCTTAGGCAGTATCAAATGGCACAACCAGTAACTTTGAATATTGTAAAGCACAGATTTTACAAGTATAACAGCCTACCTGCATATGAGAGTGTCAAATTAATCCAGGATTTGATTCTAGATTCAGTCCTTTCAATCAAAGCAGCACAATCCCCAGGCCTAAGCTTTGTACAAATGAGGGGTATCCCAAGGTATCTTATAGGCAGCTCGCCTATTTCAAACCCAAAACATTGTAGAATCCAGTCTCTCTGATCTGACTCTATTCCTGATAAGAAAATCTGACTTTTCGTGTGAATTTTCTTAAGTTGAGGGATTTTGAAACTTCACCAAAGCAGCTTTTAAGATAGGGGCAGAATTATAGTCACCATGGCAAAATGAAATGAGATCATCAGCAAAGCCCAAATGGACCAGTTTCTGTTTTTTGCACCTCTAGTAAAACTTGAAATTACCAGCTGTATCAATCCGTTGATTCAAAATTTGGGAGAGAACTTCCATTGATTTCTCAAAAACTTAAGATTTGACTTTTTACTTGTCTAACTGACAAACCTATTCTGGTGAAAAAGTAACAACAATGAAAGACCATAACTATCCTGGATTATTGCAAAATGTATGGTAGGTTTATGCAACTTATGAAATGGTGCCTCAGTTCAGCAACAAAATGTAGGCCTACTAATTATAACACGCGTTGAATTGTTTAGTCTTCGCTGTTTAATGATTTATTTGAACTACATGGCAATAGTGACACGTACATAGTACTTGCAATAGTGATATGTTTGTTCTATATGGAAAAAAAATACGCCGAAGTTAGAATCTCAACACTAATATATTTGAAAAAATAACTGATAAGGAAATCCAGAACCACTTCTTACAAAAATTGGGTTTATTCTACAAGCCCTTCAGCCCAAGGGGTACCAGGTTCAAATCATTGTAAAAATGGCAGTGGTTTGAACCCTCCTCCTCCCCATCAGGCACCAGGTATCAGGATCATTTGGGGAGGTGGAGCTTGGAGGGGCAGTTTCATATTTGAAGAGTACTCATTAATTAAAATTTGATAAGTTTTCACTTTGCTGTGGACCCTTAAACCTCATTCTATATCGAAGAGCACTTGGGGTACTCATTGCTGAGGCTTCTGCCAATCAAACTTCTTATTAAAAGATTATTCTTAAACTATTCGATAAGATGATAAAGTTTTACTCAATGAAACATCTTGATCATCAGAAGAAATGATCAGATTTTTATTTGTACTTGCATCAATGCGCGTAAAATACTAAATTTTTCAAGCAAAACTAATGAAAATAACTAAAATGATGCTACTAAGATCTTCCGACTTCTGATTGCTTGTTTGAGTTGGGCTGCATTGGCTGGTGCAACTCTAATTTGAGTTTAACCTATGGCTGTTGCAAGAGTTTCCAACTCCTAGCGATCAAGAGTCGTCTCGTCTCTCTTGCAACATGCTCCTAATAGAAGGAGTCCATAAGGCCTCCATTGCTCAAAATGCTACAGCGGAGCTCGAATTCCTGAATCAGTTGGGAGAGTCTGGATGAGTCTATTAGATATCCTGGAAAGCCACCATTGTTCCAAAATGGAAAGCGACCATTACGACTAGAGAATGGAAAGCGTCCTTGACCATATGAATATTCTGGATAGCGTTCTTTGCACTCCCCAGCTTCCTCCAAGGCACGACCTGCTTCGTCGGCTACGTGCTCATAGTGACCAGAGTACAAGTACTTCTTGGCGTGTTCTAGATCACGTACAGCTTTCTTATATCTTCCGGAACATTTCTTGTAGAGTTTTCTCAGTTGATGATCTTCTGTGCTTTGTGATAGGTCTCTGAGCAACTGTTGAATCTGTTTACCGATCTCTTCTGCCGAGTCAATTGAATTATCGGCAAGAGGGTAACAATCATCAATGGTTCCAGAACCATAATGGGGACTCAAATCATCCCAACAGTAATGAGGATCTATCGTGCCATCACATATACTCCTCAAATCAGCACTTTTTGATCCTTTGTGGTGACGATGGTGATGGTGATGATAATGATGATCGTGATGCCTCGCAACAGAGGGACTGATGAACACAAACGCCAGAAAAAGAGAAACCAGTAAAGAGAAGGTGGAGGCCATGGCTATTCTGGATTGTTTATGGGCTTATGTTCTTTTCTCTTGGAAGTTGGATGAAAGTGGGATCATGCAAGTGAAACTTTATAGGTGTTCTAAGCGCATAATAAGGACATACTTCAATTGAGAAATCTTTATACGTTTTCTAGAAGTTAAGGGAGTGGTTAAATTGTCTGAAAGGCTGTATGCAATTTTTTCACACTTAATGTTCTTTTTCTCTTTTGAGTTACCAAATATAGTCTATGTTTCATTTATGGCCAAAGTCTAATCAATGACTTGTAACGATATATTTATCAAGGCAGTAGTAGTGGTGAGTAAAATCTAATTGAATTCTATTTTACTGTCTCTCTTCAAAGTAGAAACGGAAATTGATTAAAGATAGCATGTTCCAACGTCTAATAGAAGTTATTTTCTTTTTTTTAGTGGGTGTTCGAACCAATTTATGTGTACCTCAATTAATTTCCTCTCTTGTTAAGTTAAAGACTGGTCATTCATACTGAGATTAGGATATTAACGAGNTTTTACTGTCTCTCTTCAAAGTAGAAACGGAAATTGATTAAAGATAGCATGTTCCAATGTCTAATAGAAGTTATTTTCTTTTTTTTAGTGGGTGTTCGAACCAATTTATGTGTACCTCAATTAATTTCTTCTCTTGTTAAGTTAAAGACTGGTCATTCATGCTGAGATTAGGGTATTAACGAAGAATAAATTACGCATGGCCTAACACCCAAAAGTTGCCGACATTTTGTGACACCCCAAAGTCCGGGTGTCTGTAATTATCCGATTGATTATCCATCGACCCGTGTAATACTGGTGGATATCATATAATTTAATACCACACCGTTATGCCCCATTTCTCGGGATCCATAACTTAACAAAATTTGGGCAGAGTCTCCTTTGTACGAGGAGCTCTACTCAAAACACAACCTGTACAATATTGACCACACCGGGTCTATCTATCCATTCACAATTGTATAGTCTCGAATACTACCATAATCATTATCAGTACATACATTTATTCGTAAAAGAATAAATGTCCCAAAAGAGTCCCATATACATGCCTTTGTAAATATAAACAATGTTTGTTACAAAAATTATACAAGGTCAAAAGTAAGTATAAACAAGAGACTACAATGTCAAAATAAAAGCCACAGACCGGCTCTGTCGTCAAAGCGGGCCCATGGCCTCGCCTTCGGTGGAAGCCTGTGCGATACCTGAAAAATGTTCCCATAAAGGGTGAGCTAACGCTCAATAGGGTAACTCCTATAGAGAATACCTCTCAACCTAAATGAATATGGAATGTCACATGCAACAATCATTTGATACATTCATTTAAATATGTCTATTATGATTGAATGTTATAGGTCATGTCATGCCATGAGATGAGACTCACGCAAGCAATACCAACCCCGAGCCCCATCCTGAGCTCCCATAACACATGCAATGTCATGCGTATGTATCCGAGCATTCCAAGCCCCCATCATTGGTGTTATGTACACTCAATGCTAATTAATTCATTTTCTTGTGTCTTTGTGGGGAGATGATTTATGGTATTACACCAATGGGACACCAACCATCAACGGATCTTCAGGACATCCCACCTGCGGCTCCGTTTCCGCCGTTACACTTTTTTGGAATTTCACCGCCGGAAAGTGTATAAACCAAGTAAGCGGGTCTTGCACCCGAGGGAGAATCTAGCCCTTCTTGTTGTCCCCAACACATTTATCCATTTAATTTCCCGCGCGACTCAACCGAACCTTGGTGCGACTTTTCCGAGTCCACGTTCAACCACTTACGTGGTGATTGATTTCATACCATGCATACACTCCCACCCATGTCAATGCCCATGAATGTAGTGCAACTCATACATAATGAAATACAATGTCTATTACATAATGAATACAATATAATGACATTTTAACACGATCTCAAGCATGTTATGACTTGCAACATGACAACATATTTAACATAAGCACAAGTCCACCAAAATAATCATATGTTAAATAATCATTTAACATATATATATTATTTCACAATCATATATCAAGTTAATAATTTTATTAAACTTGATCTGCCATTAAAATATAAAGTAATGCTAACATACAATTAACATGCTTTAAACTACTAACATTAATTTATACCAAGTTAATCACAATAGAATTTTATTAATCACAAGATTAATTATTAATTCTACATTTGACCCACTAGTCACACTAGTCAAGACCTAACATGTGATATACACTCATAATCTACTCATTCCATATGTCATATTTTAAGTTGAAATTAAATCTAAATAGGGGAAACTCTACCTCTCGTAGCGTGAGACCACTTACTAGAACGCCAAGGAAGCCCAAATTTAGCTTCCTAAGTTTTAGGCCTAGATTATCGGCTTTGATATTCTTTCGAAGAAAAATACGATATTTAGTGTGGTTGCGTAGCTCTCGCTGAGTAGAGCAACTTTAGTTCTTGGCCCGAAGCGATTAAACAGTTAAATTTTCCTAGATATGAGAAGGAAGAAAAGAGAAAAAAAAATAAAAACTCATTTTTTTTTCTCACTCTCACTACCTCGCCGGCTGTAGAAGATATAAAAAGTGGAAGACAAAGTCTTCCACTTATATATATATATATATATATATATATATAATTTNAGCTCTCGCTGAGTAGAGCAACTTTAGTTCTTGGCCCGAAGCGATTAAACAGTTAAATTTTCCTAGATATGAGAAGGAAGAAAAGAGAAAAAAAAATAAAAACTCATTTTTTTTTCTCACTCTCACTACCTCGCCGGCTGTAGAAGATATAAAAAGTGGAAGACTTATATATATATATATATATATATATTATTATTTTTTTTTGAAATTTATGTTTTTGACCCATAATTTAACAATTAATTATTATTTTACCCTTTTTTATTAGGATTTTAATAATAATATATATATATATATTTTTTATTGGGTTTTACACATTTAAACTCAAAATATTTAAATTTACGATTGTTACCATTTGAACTATCTCTTGAGAGGAATTTTCATTTTGCAGTAAGACCATCACTGGTCAAAGCCAAAAGCTATCACCCTCTACCCCCACCCCCCCCACGCCAAAACAAAAAAAATTATACACATAGCTTATCTCGAAACAATTAAAAATGTATAAAAGTGCAGAGCTTACACATATATGCATCATATTCTAAGTATATGATCGTAGTATGTCACGTCCTTTTGTCCCCACCCCCCCACCGCAACGAAGAGTATGCAAAATTTTCGAGTCATTGATCAGAAATNTGTCACGTCCTTTTGTCCCCACCCCCCCACCGCAACGAAGAGTATGCAAAATTTTCGAGTCATTGATAAGAAATTAAGAATTTGATAACTGATGAAATTTTACTTGACAAACTTTGATTTTATTGATTTCTGTAGCAAATGATCAGATTTCAATATGGGCAAGGTTGCTAATGACATCACTATAATTCTCCAGACATCTAGTATATCCAATGGGTGCACAGTTTGGGTCCAACTAACCACTTACCAACCAACAGTTCACCTTATTAATTATTCGACTACTGGATGTAAACCATGCCAATAACTAAACGAAAAAGAAAATCGATTACTGCAAGTCATTGATCCCCATAAGAAATAAACTGATTTTGATTCTCATGGGTCACATAACATACTAAATTATTCCTGCCAAACGATTGGAAATAACTAAAATGATGCTAGAAAGATCTTCCAACTTCTGATTTGCTTGTTTGAGTTGTGGTGTTTCAACAGCTGGTTTTTGAAAGCTTTCATCACAAGTATCTGCATCAGTCGAGACGGCCGACGCATAAGTATTTAGGCTATTATAGTCACCAGAGCTCAAGAACTTACTGGCTTGATCAAGGTTACTAATGGCATCGTCATAATTCTCCAGGCACGTGGCGTATATTTCTTTCACCTTAGGATCATTTGTTTTTCTCGTAAGAGAGTCAAGAATGCTGTATGTGTCTTTAGCACTGGCTTGTGCCAAGTCAATTGAGATCCGGGCGAGACCCGGAACGTCTGCGCCAGGAGTACGAGGATCGGATTTCAAAGCCTGCAAACATACAGAAGGATTGTGTGTTTTGGAGCAAATATCATTAATCAATGCAACAGTTGCTTTAACATCTGTCTTAGCAGATGAGAAGCTGCTGCACAACAAACATGCCAGTGAAACAGAAACAAACAGGAATGAGGTACTAAAACAAAAGGCCATCTCTACGTAATTTTCTTTAGGTTTGGACTGTATTTTATGTCCTCTTGACATTGTATTAGATTGGATGAGACTAGTTATATAGTGTGCTTAAATTAAAACACTGAATTTTATGGAAAGAGACGTTAATTATGGGGAGGGGTGGGGTGTTACCTAAATTTCTGTTCAAAATAAGTTAAGAGGATGCTCAGAATCCCATTCATTAAGGAAGTATTTGATGATTTGGTCACCCTCCATATATAACATTTCAAACCATTAATACAGCCTCCTCCATATATAGTAATAGTATTTCAATTCAAACCACGTCCGGTCTTCAAGTCATACATAGTAGCAATTGCATCTTTTCACATATGGAACTTGCATCCTCCGTCAAAATGTTTATTGAAAACTTGAATGTAAACCATAACAATAACATAGAAAAACAAAACAAAATATATAATGGGAGAAATTATAGCCTTTTCTTTGGGTAGGATCTTAGTGCAATTAATTGAGATACATGAGTGAGGCGGTTGATGATTAAGGCCGACCGCACTGCACCGCTCCACTAGGGTTTTATTCTCTTAATCAGTCTTGTGCCGCATTGCATAAGTGACGGGTGGGTCAATGATATTGAATTCAATTAATACATTATTAGTTGATACTAATAATTGGTTGGACTAACGTATTAATATTATTGAGATCAAGAGCCAAAACTATCTTAGATTATGATGGAAATTTAACACTTACCTTTCAAGGTTCAATTGAGATTTCGATAAAACGATTAATTCCAGAGGTTAATCTTGAGTTAAAACAATTATGATGGATTTCGATAAAAAGATTTTAATAAGCACATACATTAATATTGAGGTAACAAAGCATTCAAATTGACCACTATGATCCCAAGAGAAGGGTGAAAAAGAAGAAAAGCATATTTTTCTTAAAATAAGAAAGCTTTAGCCAAGTCATTGAAACTCTCAAAAATGTAACAGAAGAAGAATAACAAAGACATACCACATCTTCTATATGTGAATGGGTTTGTCATAAGTGGCCATCGCAGCTTCCTTCAAAGCCTCACTCATTGTTGGATGAGCATGGCATGTGCGTGCAATGTCCTCACTAGTTGCCCCATAGTGCAAGGCCAGTACTGCCTCATGAATGAGCTCCCCAGCATTTGGTGCCATGATGTGGACACCCAATATCTTGTCAGTCTCCTCCTCAGCTAGTATCTTGACAATTCCTTCAGCATCATCGATTGCCTTGGCCCTGCTGTTTGCCATAAAGGGGAACTTCCCAACACGGTAATCAACCCCCAGTGTCTTCACCTGCTCCTCAGTCTTCCCAACGGATGCCACCTCCGGGTGAGTATAAACAACTCCAGGGACCATGTCGTAGTCCACATGGCCTTCCTTACCTGCAATCAACTCCACACATGCAACCCCATCCTCTTCTGCCTTATGAGCCAACATTGGCCCAGGAATTACATCACCAATAGCATAAACCCCTGGCACATTTGTAGCAAATCGCTCATTAACCAGAATCCGACCAGCATTGTCAATTTCAACTCCTATCTTCTCCAACCCAAGTCCAGCCGTAAATGGAATTCTACCAGCAGATACAAGAACAATATCAGCCTCAAGTGTGCTCTGATCACCACCAGCTGCTGGTTCAAGAGTTAACTTCACACCATCCCCAGAATTGTCAACTGATACAACCTTAGTTTTTAGCATGAATTTCATCTTTTGCTTCTCTAGGATACGTTGAAATTGCTTGCGGATTTCACCATCCATTGTAGGAACGATGTCTGGTGCAAATTCAACAACAGTGACCTCTGATCCAAGACGGCCCCAGACAGAGCCCATTTCAAGGCCAATGTAACCAGCTCCAATGACCACAAGTTTCTTAGGAATTTCTGACAAAGCTAAAGCTCCAGTTGACGATACAATCCTCTTCTCATCAATGGTGATCCCAGGTAAGCTTTTAACATCAGAGCCAGTGGCAATTATTATACTCTTGCCTTTTACTACAGTGCTCTCGCCTTTAAGGGTGTCAACGGAAACCTCAGAATGCGAAATGAACTTGCCATGACCTTTAACATAGTTTACTTTATTTTTCTTGAATAGGCCTTCTATACCTCGTGTTAGATTAGTCACGGCTTTATCTTTTTGGGCCAGCATGGCAGGTAGATCAACCTCAACAGAAGGAAACTTCACACCATGGCTGGCAAATGAATGCTTGGCCTCATGATACATGTGGGAGGAATGAAGAAGTGCCTAAAGAGAAATTCCAATTCATAAAGTTTTCACGGAATGGGCAACACTTGCTAGAAGTAGTAAATTTTGAAAGCAAGACAGTATAAAATTCTAGTACTTCTGTCTAACAAACCATGTCTAGATATCAAAGACACATTTGCTGCAAAATATGTCTCATAATCCTTTTGTATTCGGGATTTTTTGAAAACAAAATAGGACTTGATTTCACTTGGCACTGGCCAAGCATAGGTTATTACAAGGAAACAGCTTGCTAACCGACTATCTTCTCCAAACAATTTTGACAGAATTATTCAAAAAGGTTTTAAAGGTACCAAGTAACCAAGAACTCATTTTATGATAAAAGTAATTATGACCACCACTCAAATAAAAGTAAAAAATTAGCAATAATTGCATATTATCTAGGAATTACTGAGACATTTCATCTAGATGATATCGATAAAAACCCAAACTTTATCATGTATATGTGTCCGCTCATTCTTAAATTACTGTCAATCAAAACCACAACATTTTAATTGCCGATTCAACAACAAGGCTCAACTACATCGATTCCAGTACAAAGTCATGGAACGCATAATGAAACAAAACACACACAACGGCGTACAATCGGAAACTGATTAGATCAAATAAGAAGCCGCAAAGGTAAATGAAACACCAAAAATATGCAGCCATGCATCTTAAAATTCCTACTTCCCAGGTACAAGAGTGGAAATATATATAAACTGTAAACACATACACTACCTTAGAAGGAATACAACCGACGTTGAGGCAGGTGCCGCCGAGAGTACCGCGCTTCTCGATGCAGGTGGTCTTGAGGCCTAGCTGAGCGGCCTTGATGGCAGCGACGTAGCCGCCGGGTCCACCGCCGACGACCACGACGTCGTTCTCGTCAGATCCCGAGGAAGCGAAGCCTCTGGCCATAGAGAGAGAGTACTTGGAATTGTTGCAGAGAGGATTTGAGAGCAGCGTCGATGCCTTTCGTCTGGAAAAACTCGCCATTGCCATTTTCGCTTCGCTTCAATTCAATCAATCTGGTCTAAAATACACAGCGGCCTTTCAAGTCTGAAGATGGAGGAGAGGAGAAGAAAGGAGAACTTGGCTTTTTATTTGTTTGTTTATTATTTATTTATTTACCTGTCTGTTATTCTGATTAGTTATTCTTCATAATAATAGCTGTGATCTGCTGTAGCTGCGGCCCACGAAAGAGTACGTGAGATCTGATTGATACCGTTGCTCTTTGTTGGCCTATCGGATAGATGGCTCCCGATCTGATGACTTCGTTTGGTTGGTGTAATAGGGGATGACTTTTATATAATAATATAAAAATGCAAAGGCAAAGGCAATGGGGCAAACGGGTTACGTTGGATTATTTCATATCAGGTTGATTTTGAATTTGTATAGTAAATTCTAAAATTCAAACCTGATGTATAATAATCGTGTGAAAATATATAAATACTAATATGATAGTTAAACACNATGACCACAAGTTTCTTAGGAATTTCTGACAAAGCTAAAGCTCCAGTTGACGATACAATCCTCTTCTCATCAATGGTGATCCCAGGTAAGCTTTTAACATCAGAGCCAGTGGCAATTATTATACTCTTGCCTTTTACTACAGTGCTCTCGCCTTCAAGGGTGTCAACGGAAACCTCAGAATGCGAAATGAACTTGCCATGACCTTTAACATAGTTTACTTTATTTTTCTTGAATAGGCCTTCTATACCTCGTGTTAGATTAGTCACGGCTTTATCTTTTTGGGCCAGCATGGCAGGTAGATCAACCTCAACAGAAGGAAACTTCACACCATGGCTGGCAAATGAATGCTTGGCCTCATGATACATGTGGGAGGAATGAAGAAGTGCCTAAAGAGAAATTCCAATTCATAAAGTTTTCACGGAATGGGTAACACTTACTAGAAGTAGTAAATTTTGAAAGCAAGACAGTATAAAATTCTAGTACTTCTGTCTAACAAACCATGTCTAGATATCAAAGACACATTTCCTGCAAAATATGTCTCATAATCCTTTTGTATTCGGGATTTTTTGAAAACAAAATAGGACTTGATTTCACTTGGCACTGGCCAAGCATAGGTTATTACAAGGAAACAGCTTGCTAACCGACTATCTTCTCCAAACAATTTTGACAGAATTATTCAAAAAGGTTTTAAAGGTACCAAGTAACCAAGAACTCATTTTATGATAAAAGTAATTATGACCACCACTCAAATAAAAGTAAAAAATTAGCAATAATTGCATATTATCTAGGAATTACTGAGACATTTCATCTAGATGATATCGATAAAAACCCAAACTTTATCATGTATATGTGTCCGCTCATTCTTAAATTACTGTCAATCAAAACCACAACATTTTAATTGCCGATTCAACAACAAGGCTCAACTACATCGATTCCAGTACAAAGTCATGGAACGCATAATGAAACAAAACACACACAACGGCGTACAATCGGAAACTGATTAGATCAAATAAGAAGCCGCAAAGGTAAATGAAACACCAAAAATATGCAGCCATGCATCTTAAAATTCCTACTTCCCAGGTACAAGAGTGGAAATATATATAAACTGTAAACACATACACTACCTTAGAAGGAATACAACCGACGTTGAGGCAGGTGCCGCCGAGAGTACCGCGCTTCTCGATGCAGGTGGTCTTGAGGCCTAGCTGAGCGGCCTTGATGGCAGCGACGTAGCCGCCGGGTCCACCGCCGACGACCACGACGTCGTTCTCGTCAGATCCCGAGGAAGCGAAGCCTCTGGCCATAGAGAGAGAGTACTTGGAATTGTTGCAGAGAGGATTTGAGAGCAGCGTCGATGCCTTTCGTCTGGAAAAACTCGCCATTGCCATTTTCGCTTCGCTTCAATTCAATCAATCTGGTCTAAAATACACAGCGGCCTTTCAAGTCTGAAGATGGAGGAGAGGAGAAGAAAGGAGAACTTGGCTTTTTATTTGTTTGTTTATTATTTATTTATTTACCTGTCTGTTATTCTGATTAGTTATTCTTCATAATAATAGCTGTGATCTGCTGTAGCTGCGGCCCACGAAAGAGTACGTGAGATCTGATTGATACCGTTGCTCTTTGTTGGCCTATCGGATAGATGGCTCCCGATCTGATGACTTCGTTTGGTTGGTGTAATAGGGGATGACTTTTATATAATAATATAAAAATGCAAAGGCAAAGGCAATGGGGCAAACGGGTTACGTTGGATTATTTCATATCAGGTTGATTTTGAATTTGTATAGTAAATTCTAAAATTCAAACCTGATGTATAATAATCGTGTGAAAATATATAAATACTAATATGATAGTTAAACACAGTTATCCAAACTTGTTTAACACGTTTAATAAATATGTCGTTTTCGAGCTTGTTTAACACATATAACATAGACTTATTTAACACATATAACTTGTTTTCACACCTGTTCATTACTACTAAATACACCATTCAATCATTCATCCAACATTTCAAATAATTTTTTTACAAATAACGTATCACATCTCATTAATAAAATTAACTAAAATATATTCAAGTTTCAATCTAAAAATTAAAGCAAGAACTATACTAGTATACTGTCACAATAATGTTAAAAATTATACTACCAATTATCATAATAGAAATAAGAACTAATAAATAATAATGTTAAAACCACATTAGTCATACATAATAAGTAAACATGCTGTCCTAAATAAGTTAAACGAGTCTAAAATAGGATAAGTCGAGTTCGTGTCCGTAACATGTCAATCTGTTTAAAATATACGGGTTAATTATGTCAAAATCAAATTGACCTAATTTTGACATAAATCCAAAATAATTTTTTTGTGTTTAATTGCGTTGACCAGTTTTAACCCATTAACTCAATTAATTTTGTATCTAACCTATTAATTTTGTGTTCGATTCGTGCCGTATTAACGTGGCAGTGTCAAAAATTGATAACCCTAGGCAAAGGTGGTTCTTTGCTTTCGACGAACTCGCTCATTTCTCCCCGTATTGTTCCATTCATGCTCTTTTTTTTTTTTTTTTGGGTGGCTAGCACCGGCACATAACATAATATAACATAGAAAGCAACCACAATTAGCAGCGCAAAGCACCTAGCGAAAAATAGGTGAGCAATTTCTTCACCCCAATCAAGNAGGTTTTAAAGGTACCAAGTAACCAAGAACTCATTTTATGATAAAAGTAATTATGACCACCACTCAAATAAAAGTAAAAAATTAGCAATAATTGCATATTATCTAGGAATTACTGAGACATTTCATCTAGATGATATCGATAAAAACCCAAACTTTATCATGTATATGTGTCCGCTCATTCTTAAATTACTGTCAATCAAAACCACAACATTTTAATTGCCGATTCAACAACAAGGCTCAACTACATCGATTCCAGTACAAAGTCATGGAACGCATAATGAAACAAAACACACACAACGGCGTACAATCGGAAACTGATTAGATCAAATAAGAAGCCGCAAAGGTAAATGAAACACCAAAAATATGCAGCCATGCATCTTAAAATTCCTACTTCCCAGGTACAAGAGTGGAAATATATATAAACTGTAAACACATACACTACCTTAGAAGGAATACAACCGACGTTGAGGCAGGTGCCGCCGAGAGTACCGCGCTTCTCGATGCAGGTGGTCTTGAGGCCTAGCTGAGCGGCCTTGATGGCAGCGACGTAGCCGCCGGGTCCACCGCCGACGACCACGACGTCGTTCTCGTCAGATCCCGAGGAAGCGAAGCCTCTGGCCATAGAGAGAGAGTACTTGGAATTGTTGCAGAGAGGATTTGAGAGCAGCGTCGATGCCTTTCGTCTGGAAAAACTCGCCATTGCCATTTTCGCTTCGCTTCAATTCAATCAATCTGGTCTAAAATACACAGCGGCCTTTCAAGTCTGAAGATGGAGGAGAGGAGAAGAAAGGAGAACTTGGCTTTTTATTTGTTTGTTTATTATTTATTTATTTACCTGTCTGTTATTCTGATTAGTTATTCTTCATAATAATAGCTGTGATCTGCTGTAGCTGCGGCCCACGAAAGAGTACGTGAGATCTGATTGATACCGTTGCTCTTTGTTGGCCTATCGGATAGATGGCTCCCGATCTGATGACTTCGTTTGGTTGGTGTAATAGGGGATGACTTTTATATAATAATATAAAAATGCAAAGGCAAAGGCAAAGGCAATGGGGCAAACGGGTTAGGTTGGATTATTTCATATCAGGTTGATTTTGAATTTGTATAGGAAATTCTAAAATTCAAACCTGATGTCTAATAATCGTGTGGAAATATATAAATACTAATCTGATAGTTAAACATAGTTATCCAAACTTGTTTAACACGTTTAATAAATATGTCGTTTTCGAGCTTGTTTAACACATATAACATAGACTTATTTAACACATATAACTTGTTTTCACACCTGTTCATTACTACTAAATACACCATTCAATCATTCATCCAACATTTCAAATAATTTTTTTACAAATAACGTATCACATCTCATTAATAAAATTAACTAAAATATATTCAAGTTTCAATCTAAAAATTAAAGCAAGAACTATACTAGTATACTGTCACAATAATGTTAAAAATTATACTACCAATTATCATAATAGAAATAAGAACTAATAAATAATATTATTAAAACCACATTAGTCATACATAATAAGTAAACATACTGTCATAAATAAGTTAAACGAGTCTAAAATAGGTTAAGTCGAGTTCGTGTCCGTCTGTATATTTTATACAGGTTAATTATGTCAAAATCAAATTGACCTAATTTTGACATAAATCCAAAGTAATTTTTTTGTGTTTAATTGCGTTGACCAGTTTTAACTCATTAACTCAATTAATTTTGTATCTAACCTATTAATTTTGTGTTCGATTCGTGCCGTATTAACGTACCAGTGTCAAAAATTGATAACCCTAGGCAAAGGTGTTTCTTTGCTTTCGACGAACTCGCTCGTTTCTCCCCGTATTGTTCCATTCATGCTCTTTTTTTTTTTTTTTTTTTGGGTGGCTAGCACTGGCACATAACATAATATAACATAGAAAGCAACCACAATTAGCAGCGCAAAGCACCTAGCGAAAAATAGCTGAGCAATTTCTTCACCCCAATCAAGCAAGCAAGCAGCACTGAGCAAGAGAAAATATAGGTGCTGTAAACTCAAGCATCTCATCGAAGCTTCCAATGATTAAATTTAAATGATAGCAAGTCTTTGATTTAATAGGAGGACCAAAATAGAGTTTTCTGTATAGGCGCCTCAGACTACAATATGACTATTCATTTGAATCTATCTATATATATTATGTACAGCTACAATATCCTCATCAGGAAAAATAGTTGAGGGGTATCATTGTCCAATGGCAACCCAAATTTCATTGGATTACTCTAATAAGAAAGCATCATTCGGAACACAGCTTCTTTACAGTCATCTCCACTGGCAATCCGGCACAAAGAGTTCACCTTCCTCAATCAATCTTTCTTCACACCTGCAGCAACATATATTTAGTGGATGAAATCATACCGAAATAACTTGATACGTAAAAAAGTGTCCAGAAAAAGTAGTAGCAGATTACAAATATTTTATTATATTTAACGTAGACTAGGGATGACTGATAGTTTTGACCTGGGATTACCTCTGGTAACAGCTTGGAAAAAGAAAAAGAGAACCCACAAAAAATAAAAAAAGAGAAACATCCACCCACCAATCTCTGCATCCTTTTCACACCTATAGCATACAGTGAAAAGGTCTAATATCATCTGACCATAACGTTTTCCATCTGATCATAATGTTTTCTGTACAAATTCCCAGCCATAATTGAAAGGGTGGGTAAAATCTGTATGCAAACATACAGTTTGAAACCAAGATGGACCTAAGGTTCTTAAAACAAGTACAAAAGAAAACCTTCATTTGAGTACACAACTCTTGACCACTAACAATGGATTCTGACTAATTAGAGCACTTTCATGAGTAGACGTGATAAAGGCGTGATTTCATACCTTTTAGACTCTGGTTACATAAGCAACTGGAATTTGACATGACACAATGCTCCGTTAGAAATCACTAATCACACCACACGGATACACCAAGTTCTTCCCAAATCAATTTTCACTGCTTCCAAAAGTTGAATTTAGAGGAACTGATGCAGGCACCTGCTGGGGAGACCATATGCAAACACTATCCTTAGGAGTTATATCAGCACGGGCAAAATCAGATATTGGTGAATATGGTTTTGTCACTTTCCTCTTTAGCATCGCCTGAACAACAAACAAAAGATAATAGCAATCATAAGCACATGACAAAAACTTGTCTCAGGTATTTCTAGGCTATGTTCATCAATTTATGGAAGAGCAAGTGCTCAATTTTCCTATGTAAGGCATTGCAGGAGTTGAGGGATAATAATTAAGTATCTCTGCTTACCACATAAAAATTCATACAAAAAAGACACAAAGGGCATTATAAATTCAACCTTTGATTGGTTTGCACCATAAGTGTTCATTGCTTGCTCAATTGAAGAATAAATCTCAACAGCCTGTTTGGAATCGCGGTCACATTTTATAACACGAATTTGGTCCTTCATCTCTAATGATCTGGAGTGTAAATATAGAATAAGCCGTGAAGGCAGAGCATTTGGGTAGTCTTTCTTTCCATGAGTCAATTCCATTGCCGCCAGATCATCCCACAGTACATCCCACAACACAGAACATGGATCTCTAGCTAGATTGAACTTCTTCTGTGCAATAACGTTGAAGGTTTGCTGAAATGAAAATATGAAACCATCTCAGTTTGGGCGCTGGAAAGTACGATGAGATTACAGGATATCATCACACTTCCAAATTGAATCGACTTACTTGCAACAATATAGTCCTCCGATGAGTGACAACAAGGATTCTTCCTTTGGGGAGTAAAAAATGGTCTTCATAAGAATCTGACAAAGCAAACTTTCCACGTACTTTAAACAGATCAACCTGGCCAAAGAATGACCCAGATTCCGCTAGCTGCAGTATCACCTTCACATTGACAAGTGAGAAAGTAGATTAGAGTGGCAGTCGCATTTCAGAAGTTAACCAACATAAGTAAATCATCAAGAAAACAAAAGCTTACAATTTAGTAGGAGTGCATCAATAAATATAAGAAGAGTGGCAGTCGCATTTCAGAAGTTAACTGACAGAAGTAAATTATCAAGAAAACAAAAGCTTACAATTAGTAGGTGTGTCAATAAATATAAGAAGACACTGATGTAAGCACATGAAACAGATCTCAATTTACATAGTGAAAAAAAAAGGTTACCGAGTCCAGTAATGATTCTGTCCACTCATGCATGTCCTGAATATACAAACTTTTATTTAGGGGACAGTTCTTTGGGTAATAAGCATATATCTATCCTATCCATCCTGCTTTGAACAGAAAACATGATGATGTAATGTCTCCAGCAATTGTGTTGCTACAATGTGGCTAATCAACATGTGGCACTTCCATTGGCTGCCACATTATACCTCTAATCCCTAAGATATTACTACTTGGCATAGTGAGCAGAAATAACATACAGCTGATTATACCACAAAAATCTGAAAAGTAACTCCAGCATATGATGGAAAAAGTAACAGCCCGCAAAAGGGAAAGATATATCAAGCAATACATACACAATGCATCACCCCCCTAGTAGTTACAAACAGGAACTTGAGGGACTTATAAGACCAGCAAATAAGCTTACTATCCAAATGTTCAAAAGTAACGTTGCGACGTGTAACATAGATAGATGAAGCATCCAACCCGAAACCAATTTGTAATGGATAGAATGGCCATAAAGTCTATAAACAAACGCTGTGTGTACCTAATCTATCAATGTGTGACAATCTATGTCATAACCTCTCTCATGTAGGACCAGGCACACACATGGTCTAATAACCCTAACCGAAACAAGAAATTGAATGGTTGAGAGGCTCTAGGCCAAAATTTGATACCATGTTAAAGCATCCAACAAAAACTATTGTTAATGGGTGGAGTGATTCCTAAATAGGGATGACAATAGACCGGGGAAAAACAGGGATTCGTCTAAACCTGCACCATTTAGACCGATGATGGACCATACGTATTGGACGGTGGACATATATGGGAATATCCGTATCAACCCGTGCAGAGATGGATGCTTGGGTGGACCGAAACTTATTTTCTTATTATTGTTGTTGTTTTTGCTCAATAATGCAATGATTATGTTGTTAACTTATTTCTTCGTTTTTGATTTTGATCATATCATGTGATATAGACATAGAGTGCTACAACTTGTACAGNTTATTGTTGTTGTTTTTGCTCAATAATGCAATGATTATGTTGTTAACTTATTTCTTCATTTTTGATTTTGATCATATCATGTGATATAGACATAGAGTGCTACAATTTGTACTTTAATTATTATATTTTTTTTTCCTTAAAATCGCATAAATTAATTGTAATGGACGGAAGCGGAGGTTGGGGACGGGTGGCGGAGGTGAAGGTAGTGGCGGAGGCTGGGAAGGAGATTAAAACTTTTTCCCCTAACGGGAATGGACCGGGGGTGAACGGACTTTTTTTGAGCAGATACGGGGGTGGAGACTACTCCCCCCCTCTACCCTCGCGCCGATCCATTGCTATTTCTACTCCTAAAGTACATAAACCAACCTTGGATATTCCTAATCTTTCATTGTGGAATATGAACTCTCTTTACAAAGAGAATAACTTAAGAAGATAACATGCAACGAAACCGATCTTTCTTTATGGCAATAAAGGCTAGGCTAGATTCCTTAGACAAGGGAAGTAACTTTCGAAAAAAAAAAGTCCCCCATGACATTATTACCCCATTTTTACGTTTACAAAGCACATTTTTTAAGATGTACTGCCCACGCATNGTGAAGGTAGTGGCGGAGGCTGGGAAGGAGATTAAAACTTTTTCCCCTAACGGGAATGGACCGGGGGTGAACGGACTTTTTTTGAGCAGATACGGGGGTGTAGACTACTCCCCCCCTCTACCCTCGCGCCGATCCATTGCTATTTCTACTCCTAAAGTACATAAACCAACCTTGGATATTCCTAATCTTTCATTGTGGAATATGAACTCTCTTTACAAAGAGAATAACTTAAGAAGATAACATGCAACGAAACCGATCTTTCTTTATGGCAATAAAGGCTAGGCTAGATTCCTTAGACAAGGGAAGTAACTTTCGAAAAAAAAAAGTCCCACATGACATTATTACCCCATTTTTACGTTTACAAAGCACATTTTTTAAGATGTACTGCCCACGCAAGTCATGCATGCCAAATATCTACCTCAATGCACATTAAGTACTAGCTGCTCCACATAGAGCTCCAAAACAGAGTTGTTCATATTGTAGAATAGACATATGGGTACATTAGATCAGGTGGAATTTCAAACCCTACCTTAACTTACTAAGATCAGGGAAGCATCAACACAATGAAGGGTAGCAACCTAAATCTGACCTTAGAATTAACAAAATACACCAAATCTGAAGATATCCAGGGCCGGATTCGAGCACAATCCCAAGAACCGCATTATGAGTGCTAAATAATGGACGTATGATGNTTGTACTTTAATTATTATATTTTTTTTTCCTTAAAATCGCATAAATTAATTGTAATGGACGGAAGCGGAGGTTGGGGACGGGTGGCGGAGGTGAAGGTAGTGGCGGAGGCTGGGAAGGAGATTAAAACTTTTTCCCCTAACGGGAATGGACCGGGGGTGAACGGACTTTTTTTGAGCAGATACGGGGGTGGAGACTACTCCCCCCCTCTACCCTCGCGCCGATCCATTGCTATTTCTACTCCTAAAGTACATAAACCAACCTTGGATATTCCTAATCTTTCATTGTGGAATATGAACTCTCTTTACAAAGAGAATAACTTAAGAAGATAACATGCAACGAAACCGATCTTTCTTTATGGCAATAAAGGCTAGGCTAGATTCCTTAGACAAGGGAAGTAACTTTCGAAAAAAAAAAGTCCCCCATGACATTATTACCCCATTTTTACGTTTACAAAGCACATTTTTTAAGATGTACTGCCCACGCATGTCATGCATGCCAAATATCTACCTCAATGCACATTAAGTACTAGCTGCTCCACATAGAGCTCCAAAACAGAGTTGTTCATATTGTAGAATAGACATATGGGTACATTAGATCAGGTGGAATTTCAAACCCTACCTTAACTTACTAAGATCAGGGAAGCATCAACACAATGAAGGGTAGCAACCTAAATCTGACCTTAGAATTAACAAAATACACCAAATCTGAAGATATCCAGGGCCGGATTCGAGCACAATCCCAAGAACCGCATTATGAGTGCTAAATAATGGACGTATGATGCTTCAATTTCTTATGGTTGTAAAATGATAATATTAAAGCATATACAGGTTGATTGCTTGTAATTTAATGACATGTGAAAAGATGGAGAGTGACTTGTGCAAGATCTTTAAACCCTACCTATTATGATGATTTGGAAGGCTAAAGTGCTGAGAAAAGTAAAAGTTTTTGCATGGACTGTTGCACAAGGTAAGATTAATACTGTGGATATGCTTCAAAAGAGGAGTCCTCACTCTTGTCTTTGTCCGCAATGATGTGTCATGTGTAAAAAGGATTATGAAAGCATAGATTATTTATTTTTGAGCAATGCTATTGGGACATAATTTACTGATTTTATTCACTATGACCTTTGAATTGAATGTGGACCCTACCAAATATTGAAACTTGGTGTTGATCTAGCCACATCATTAGGTTAGCAAATTAGATCAAATTTTTAAATCCAAATAGTATTACTCTTTATTTTTACATTGTACTATATTGTATTGTCGTTGTGATACAAGCTATTTAGCTTGGTAGAATTGAATTGGGTGGTTCCCATTTCAGCTACGTCTTTGTTTGTTGAAGATTCCATAGGTCTGGGGAGGAGTGATAATGGAAAGACACTTTGGAATTGTATCATTATTGCAACTTTATGGGTTGTTTGGAAAGAAAGAAATGAAAGAATCTTTGAAGATAGAGTTGCGTGTGGAAAGTTTATGGGATCATATTGATTTCTTGGCATCTTTCTAGGCTTCAGTTACTAAAGAATTCAAAGGAATCCCACTCTTTGCAATTTTGACGAGATGACAAACTTCACCTGATATATAGGTTGTTTTATGTTTTTACTTTTTTGAACACTACCACTAATTCTCTGTTACTCAAATATTTTCAAACATTCCCAATGTTGTCTTCTATTCATGTCTTTTCAAGCGAATAAAAAATTGAGACCTCAAAATGTGTCTTGTCCACAAGATTTGGTTGTGATTCTTGCAATAGGTGTTTATGAAACTGATCAAGGGAATCTCTAGAATAACGTATGGGATTGAAATTTATAGTAAAAATCCCATTGCTTGGTGCATTGCTGTAAGTGTTGGGCTAACAATTGTACGGTTACGAGTTTGAAATTAATGGCAGCTACTCTAGGTAAAGGATGCTTAAAATTAGGTATGTAACCAGTCCATTCCTCCTCATTCTCTCTTTTAACAGTGAACTAGGCCGTGACTTTTTTATAAACTCTAAATCACGCCTCTCTTCATTTTCACCTTTTCTACTCCTTTCTACACTGTCTGTCCTATTTTTCTTTTTTTGCAATGCTTCCTCTATTATTTAAAATTTTCTCACTACGCCACTACCTTATGTCTTGTCAGCGCCGCCCAATATACATGGTTTGCCCCATTCTTCAATAGTGAATCATTTTTTTTTACAAAAGGTTGTCCAATGCTGTTTTCATCCTTCGGTGATATGATTCTAAAACATTAATTTGTTAGAGCTCCACTTATAGTAGACGAAGTAATTTACTTTTCTACACCAAACCATAGGGACTATTATGCCATAAAGTAGGCAGTAGCAAACCATTAGTACCTGTCCCTGTGCTTTGTAATCACTGTATGGTCGAAGCAAATTATCACCACCAATTACTCGGGGCAGTCGCCTACGGAGGAGTTGATCTTCTGAAGTAATAGCGGATGCTATCTTCATCCGCATTGCATTGGCACCTTCGGTAGTTTTTGACAGAAGATCCAGAACTCCACTCACAGGCTGTGCAGCTGCACCTATTATTCCTTTTCCAACACCCTGAACAAAACCCTCCACACCAGAAGCTTTGGCACCTTCTAGAGGCTTGGTTAAAATGCCCGTGACTCCTCGGAAAAAACCTTTCGCCAGTGCTCCACCCCCCTCTCTGATAACATCACCAAAGTCCTCCACACCTTTGTTTTCCTGAACCAAAAAATATTTTCTTTTACAAAATGCACATTTGAAAATGAATTAACATGGCCATAGTACTTATTGGTGTTGGAGCATCCAACCCAAAACCAATTGGCAATGGGTGGAATCTATAGAAGTCTAAACAATAGCACATCTGCGCTTTGATGTTTGAAATTTTGTAACATACAGCACTTCCTGACTAACCTGTCGCTGTCGACTTTGAATGAATTTTTTATCCATTGATAAGGCTGCAACACCTTTGCTCATATGACCAAGAGCACTGCTTGCATTGCCCAGTATATCAACGCCTGAAAGCAGTTGAAGAGGCTGGCTAAGAAGATCCTTCCTAATATTTGAGATGGCATTGCTGGTAAGTACACTTTGCCTCATGGACACATTTTCCTGGAATTTTGGATTGATCCGGACCTGATTAAAACACATTAAAATGAGTTACTTAGTTCTAGTGCATTCTTTAATATATACTCCCACAACAAGTTACTCTACAAGATAAGTTATACCTCAATTTACTTAATTGTAACCTTTGTCTCTCTAATGTTGTATAAACTACCAATCATTTTTATGGACTATTAGACAGAACAACAATATTACTCAAATGGTTGGCTGAAAGGATGGCATACTAGCTTAAAAGGTTTGTCCACAATCATGAAGATCTTTCCACTTTGGAAAACCATGGTCAAATTTGTGCAAGTCCAAAAAAGAAAGGGGAAGGCAGGGGGTGGAAAGGTGATCTTGCAATGATCCCTTCAACTTAATTTTATGATTATCAACTTATACCACGGGCATTTTAATGACAACTATATAGGGCATAAACACTCGTATCATACAGCAAGCTGGTGTTTCTCCGTGCTCATATAAAAAATTTTGAAATCACAAATGGAATAAACACATCAAATTGAGAGTATGACAAAAAAAAAAAAAAGGATCACTGCTTACAGTCATATTTTCAGTGTTCCCCAATGCAGTCATCAAGGATGACCAAAACCCAAGGACACCAACTGGTCGTTGACTTGGTGACATAGCCATTGAGACTTTGAACCGAACTTCCGAGATGTTAAGTACACTGCCAATCAGGGAAATAACATATGACTGAAGTTCTAAGAAGCAAACGCGGCAACAGACAATGTCAGGAAAAGTAAGTTTCAACACAGTCACTGCATACCGTATTTGAATGATTGGGTCAACTGAAACAGCAGTATTTTGAGTATCATATAACCGAGTTAGGTTGGCATGATGAATCATCCCATGAAGGCGCCAAATGATTGGTTCATGAATGTTTATCAAAAAGGCAGAATTTTCAGGCCCCTGATGAGAAACAATTGACATGTATTGGCATGAATAGAATTAAGGACAGGACAAATAATAAACAATTAGGAAAAGAATAAAACTTAACATACTCACTTGAAAACCAATGTATGGATACACAGATAAATCCAATGATCCATTCGATTGCTGTGTCATGGAAAATTTCAAGATATAATCGATATCCTCTCCAACTCTTTGTGGCCTGAAGAGAACCGGCATTGGAGTTAAAGGCAATTGATTATCCACCTGAATCCCGTGCATTCTTAATTTGAACCTGTCATACAAACATAAAAGTTTCTACTGTTAGTGAATGTGGATCAGTACTATTTCCACCATTTAGAAGGATAGGACAGACAAGCATAATGAAAAATGACAGCCCAAGAAGTGTGCATTTACACCAATTAGCATAATTGTCCAAAGTTATTCCCTCAGTCATGTTGGTGATCACTATTAATTATTACCTACTGATTCCAGTGTCCAAGCCAGTTGAATATGATAGCAGAAGATTCTGGACTGACATATATAATATCTCCTCAGGTGTATGATCAATAACAGATAGTCCGAGCTCAGCAATCTCAATAATAACATGAAATTCACAACCTGAGGTGGACATTGATTGCTGAGGCTGTGAGTCATTTCCAGAAGTTTGTGACACAAATGAAAGAACTCTCGTATTTAGAATCGCTGAAGGTTTATTTTCTGGCATCCAGTCGCTGATCATAATGACATTCATTCTCTCTTCTTTCAGACTAGTAATACATAGAGCTCTACCAGTTTGGCCCACCACATGAATGGGCTTATGATCAAACACCTCATCAATATTGTATTTCAGGGATGCCAAAGGGTCAGTACCATCTACAACTAGTTCCAGCAATAGTTGTCTACCAAGATCTTCCCACAGAAAGGAAGCAGCTGCATTAGGAAGAAGAGACTGCCATGAATTACTGGCACCGCCTACTTGCCGAAAATGTAAGGGCAAAAACATAGAACGATTTTCAATCCTGTCAGTAGATATTCACTTGGTTAATATTGAGCGAAGACACAGGAATAAATGCAATTCAAGCATCTAAGAATATAATCTTGGGAGATCACAAAACTATAAAAGGACGCTTAATTATTGAAATTCTCTCTGATTAATAAAGAAGAAAAAGTTGCTCACAGAGTAATGGTTTCACTGTGATATACAAGACATTAGAATGCATTTTCAAGAATCATGCACTATTTCACAAACAAATACGTATTACATCTAATCTAACCCATAAGAGGGTTCAACATTTTGTTTAACAAACTAATGTTCATCCAAAAAAAAAAAAATTCTACTGCACAAAGCTCCTGCTGCCACTACGAGGTTTATGGATGGTCAGATTTGCATTTTTCATCCTAATAACTCTAGCTAATCTCTCAAAAATATCAAATAATTAATACCATTGAAGGATTTATTCAGATGATTACAAATAATAGAATAATGAGATATCACCATGACAAATAGTTGGCTTCTTTAACTATTATCAACTACAAAGATTTATGAGTTATTTATTATTATAAGATTGATAGCATGCATGGATGCTGAATAAAGGAAAATGCTTTCTGTAAATACTCAACCACTTTTAGTTTCTAAAATATTTATCAGCATCAACAAACACCTAAATCTTCAGTAATTTTTAACCTTAAAAACCTCATTATATATTTGAGAAAGTTTCACTATAAAATATCAATTGATAATATTTTGTTTCATGTTTTTGGGACAAAAATTGGCCAACCACATTCTCTTTGTCTTTCCAAGTTCGCAAAAATTTCCAGTGTTTGACCAAGGAGGTACACACAAACAAACATTCTGACAGAAAATCATGACACTGTGATCACACCTGTAAGGACTAGATAATGAATTGGGACGGAAAATAACTTCATAGCGTGAGCTCTTTGTTCCACTTCTTACTTCGGCCCTTAAACGCATTTGATCTTTTGTGGTTTCACTTTTCAAGGAAACACAAAAGATACCTTCTGTCCCAACACTAAATGGTGTACTCCAATTGTATCCATCCAGCCGCAACTGAAAATGAAAGGTAAAGTGGAATATTAGAAGGGAAAAAGAAAACACAAGATGTCCTACTATAAGTGGAACCTTGAAGATAGTAGGAGCAGTTGTTAATTTGCTCTAACCTTCAACTTTTCAATTTTTCTTGACTGCCACCTAAATTGTTTTGGAGGATCAGTAGGAAGAATCCATTCCAGCAATTGAGTATCACACTGCTGCAGACATAGACTGTAGCCTACCCGATTGAGAAACAGGGTGTGTGGTTGAAAATGAACAACCTCCATAAAAATGAATAAATTATTATTTGGTAAGTAGGCATGAACCAGAAATTTTTTTAAAAAAACTATCAGAATACAAAAGCATGCTACTTGTGAGATGAAGTAGATAATATCCATATTAGACCCCTTAAATGCATAATTGTTAGTATCATACGATACACGATACGTATCGTACGATACATTACGATACGNGAATACAAAAGCATGCTACTTGTGAGATGAAGTAGATAATATCCATATTAGACCCCTCAAATGCATAATTGTTAGTATCATACGATACACGATACGTATCGTACGATACAGAGGTAAAACGATATGGATCGTAGTTATGTATCGTTTTTGCATCGTATCGTCCGATACACGATAAGTTTTTACGATACGACCGATACGCGCAAAACCTGTTTTTTTTTTCCCTGAAACAACGTCGTTTTGTCTAAATAAGACACTAATTTTTTTATCCCCGCCACTGATGAAACGACGTCGTTTTGTCTAAATATNCGATACACGATAAGTTTTTACGATACGACCGATACGCGCAAAACCTGTTTTTTTTTTTTCCCTGAAACGACGTCGTTTTGTCTAAATAAGACACTAATTTTTTTATCCCCGCCACTGATGAAACGACGTCGTTTTGTCTAAATATGACACTAATTTTTTTTTTTTGTATAAAAATTTATGAATCTTGATTAATTTTATGGATTGAATTCAAAATGGATGTTATAAATTTGGATTAAAAGCCTCTTTGGTGTTTGAAGTTTGAATTAGTGAACTATGGTTGTAAACTTTGCATTATAATATTAGTGAACTATGTTGATGACTTGAATAGGTAGTGGAGTATTAATGAAATGCTATATTTTTATGAGTGCATGATTTTTTTTCAAAGGTATATATATTTTTTTATTATTTATTTAAAATTGCACTATATCTTACGATACACGATACGATACACTATTTTTAAAAAACGATACGGCTTCCGATACATGATTTAATAACTATGCTCAAATGAAAATTTTCCTGTTCACGCTTACATTTTAGATCCTAGTTTTTCATCCTTTATTTCTACCATTGTAAGCATGAAGATTATACCAAAATCTCTCCTTATGTATCGTGTCTCATGAAGGGTCCAAATTTGTGGCACTAGGATGCCACAACCAATAGGTCATCTAGTTTGACGATATTAATGAATCCAACTCAACACAATTAGCAATGAGAGGAGAGGCTCACAATGCTCATATACTAGTTTGGGAGGTGTTATTTTATCAATGTGGGAAAGTTCTAACATTCTCCCAGGGCCAGGTGTGACTCCCACTCGCACAGGGAGATGTAGACCTAAGATCCTTAAGACAGGATTAGAATAAGACAAAGTGTGTTTATGGCACGAACAAAGGGGGAAGCAAATGTTATGAAATTTAGATTCTTGCCCAAAAACCTCTTGTAGTCTAGTTCTCATACCATGTTAATCAATGAAACATGGATTCAGAAATGGCAATATGTCAAAATCTAAAAAACTAGGATACGGGCATGGCTATGATACGTAATATTTTAATAATGCAGCCATGAAAATGATTCCAGATTTTCTGGAACAAAACCAACACTAAAGTGTCATGATGTTAAATTTATACCTTTGTTCTATCTGAAGTCATCTGTAGTAGAGCCGAAAGCTTGTAGTAGGATCCATCTGAACTGAAGGCATTGATATCAACACGTTGCTGGATTCCATAAGTGCCACAAGATAGGAAATAAAGTTACAAGAAAGCTGAGAAAACCCACAGAAAAAGTGAAAAAGAAAAATAAATATCACAATTCAAAAATGAAGATGCTGAATGACTGTTCATCCATCTCACCTTCTTTTCCAGCTCAAGAAGAGCTATCCCAGGACTAAAATTTTCAGAATGTCGAAGAGCAACAGCAATACCCACTCGTGGGGATAGATACGCATCGTTTCGTGATGAAAACAACATAACCCCACCACGGCCTACATAGTCTTGTGGAGAAAGCATACTAGGTGCTGGACTAGTGTCCTCAACTGCATCAAGTACTTGAATATTTTTCCTTGGGCCAATTTGCTTTCTGTCCATCAAATTAGCAGGATATTTCAAGGCCGTTTTTGCAGATTTAACAGCCTTGGAGAGGAGGAGGGAATCAACATCCCCACTATCCGAAGTTTCAATTTCCACCACTCGATATGCCAAAGACAGAGAGGAATCGTTGCTAATCCAATACGGAACAAAAAACCTTATGGTTTTGGGAGCAGCTGTGGTTCCTCCCATGTCCCGTTCAATGCTTACACGCAATCTCCTGCACGAGTTATGTCATGGTGTAATGAAACCATAGGCAAAATAGTTTGACATAAAAAATAAGTCGTGAGAAAGCAACTAGCTAGCTCGCTGATAATAAAAAAATAAAAAGAACAGACAAGCAATTCAAAAATCTTCCCGTGTGCATATTAACTTGCAAGGTTCGACCAAAAGGCATTCAAGTAATCAGAGTATATAATGAATATAGACAAATATGATAAAAAATCATACATATTTTTTCTGTCCATTGCTTATACAAAAAATGTTAGAGCACATGTATGTAGAAAATAGTGCCCTGCCAGACAATGGATGCATAGATTGAAAGTGAGGATATGAATTTAAAGAAGAATAAGAAAAAAACTTTAAGCCCTTTTAGGTTTTATTTATTTGAGTAATCACTTGGAGATTGGGAGAAGAAACACACATGCTACAGTTTGAAGAAGGGGAAAAGGAGAACAAAGCACCATCTTTGGATGGGGAACACCATGAAGAGATACAAGAAAAGCACTATTCTCTACAAATATGTTTGATAAGAGAATGGTCTACGTTGCCTAAGCTTTCCCAAAGACACCAGACAATTCGGAATCATAAGAAGGAAACCAGAGTTTCACAGTTCTTTTATAATCCAAAGTCTATAATACTCAAGGGCAGGAAATCAAATGTTGCATCCCTGAATTTGTAATATCCAGTGTTAATTAAGAAGCATCACGGCTGATCATCTACTGAGTGCTGCATATATGACATACAGATACACCTACTGAATTTACAGCATCTGCAAAAAGGGTCCTTTGCATTCACAAAACATTGCAAAACAAGAAAAAAGATTTGTACTAGAGATAGTTGTTCTGTTCATATGCATCCTCCTTTTTCGTTTACCAAAAGTAATCAATAGTATATACATCAAAAAATGGATGGCAATAGCCTTTGCAGCATGCATGCACGGAAAAAAGCAAACAAAATTCATTTTTGTGTCTTATTGCCCAAAACATTGTCTGGTTAACAAGGAATACATGCCAAGGAAACACTCCCTAGAATATGCATGTCCATTTTTTTGAAAATACAAACCTTTTCTTCTGCTGGTGAACCATCCAAAATGACGAAACGTGATTATTAGAAGAGAGATCCAAAACAAGAACAGGGTCCTGTAAATCCGCAAAAAGGAATAAAATGTTAGTCGAATATGATGAATATCTGAATTCCTAAATTGTAGACAAAGAGGAGGTACAATTACTTTAAATTTGAAATCCTTACCTTTTCCAGAACCCAACTGCCTTGAACAAACAATGTAAGATATATAGGATTCCTGACATCAGCAGAATATATGTGTACAGTTCCTCGTGATGAGACAATACCTCGCTTTCGCTCAATAATATTGCCCTCTCTTAATCTTTCCCAGATTGTGAATTCTGCTGGACAAGGAAGTCGGTTCTCTAATTTCAGTGGAGAGTTAATAGATATTTTCCAATCATACACAGGAGCATTGAGCTCTGTGTGAAGAACTGAGGCATCTGTGCCAATGCTGAGCCAAAATTGCTTACTACCAGTGCTTGAACAACATAAAAGTACATCCTTCTTCTCAAGCTGACTTAACTTGAACAAAGAAAAGGGGATTTTACTTCCCTGCTTCAAGGTATTTTGTCTGGAGAGCAAAGCCTGATCAATAGACTGTTGATCCTTTCCCCCGGAGTAGCCAGAACCAACAGCAACTGGGTGCCCCCATGAGTATGGGGGCTGAGGATCATCAATGCAAGGACGAACTTGTAAACAGTGATCAGAATTCTTCGACAAACTTCTCCAAGGTAAAACAGCAGAAGAACCGGGACTTATGGCAACAACAACATTGTCTGAGTTTGTTCTGTGCCGTTCAGTGACTTGTTGAACCATGGAAATATGACAGAGGAATATATCCAACTTGACATCTGAATCATTTGCTACCGTAGCAAGACCTCTGAAAATTGCATGTTTCTTGCCATTTTTCATAACAACTTCCATAGCAATAAAATCATCTTCCAAAGTCTTGGTGATCACTGACAGAGGAATGAATGAACGAAAACTTTCCCATCTGCCTTCCGGGGAAAGCCCCACCCAGAAACCTGCATCTCTATCTACATCATTCCCATCTCCTATATCACTTCGCATGTTTGCATCTTGTTTCCTTTCAAAATAAGAAGTGGAAACTAGAAGGCATCCATGGGAATGCATATCATCAGTGTTAACCTGACCCCGAAGGAAATAATAATAAGAATGGATGATATAAAATTCACGCAACAAACATGTATCAATGTGATAAGGCATGCAAGATTTCAAAATAAAAAATAATAACTGAGTAGCTAAATCAAATGAACTAACTTTTCTTTTCAGGGGATAGGAAACAATATCTTGAATCTCTGATGCTTGGTGCAGCATTCTCACTGAAGCAGCCTTCTTCAAGTTATTTGAACCACGTCCGATGGAAAATGAAGATGAACCCACAACTTCACCTAAATGTCCAAGCAGAAAATATGAGACTAACACACACAAAATATAATGAGTTCTGCCTGAAAGACATAATCCACAATGAGTTATCCTGCTTTTTGAGAACTTCAGATTGGATGAAGAACTCCAGAACAATATTGGCACCCATACTATGTATCAAATATGTACCAAATTGCAAAATATCATTAAAGGTAAGTATCGTTGATTCTAAACTGCCAACCGAAATTTAAAAGAAGGCATGCAAAGTGAAATATTAGACGAGAGTCGAGCATGCCCATAGTAATGCAAAGAAATCCTTTTTGATGTGACTTTATAACCATTATAACAGATGAAATAAGGTCCAACTCATTTTTTAAAGAATGGCTGAGCATTTTATACTTTTATTTTCCTAAGGCACAATCTAAAAAGCTCAAGTTATAGAAACAACAGACGTATAATCATTGGATAACAAAAATAATTTTGGATTTTAAAGGGGAATGTGTTAAGAAGCAGGTACCTTTTCCAGCTTTTGCAGCAAGGTTTGTCACCTCCACTTCCAACTTAGCCAGTCCCTGCAACAATTACAAGCAAGAGACTTCTTTGGAATCAAGTTAAAATTGCAAATTGTAGGAAATCAGGGATCAAATGATGAGATGATTTATTAAATATGTAATTGTTCCATTATTTGAATGCTGAATTTGGGTATCTACAGATTTAAAAAGGAAAAAATGACGTTGAAACCATGAAAATTTGTCATCTGCTAAACTCCGTATCCTTACAGTACTTGATAATTAGGAATTTGCCCCCAAATGTGAATTTTGGTCTTTTAAGGTTCAAAAACAAAAAGGTCTTGATAGAAATCATAAACACTGGTATATATCAATGAGTTAATGTATTAACAGCTACGATGAGCTCCACAAATAATGGATTCACTCGCAGTATGGTGGTATAATAAAATGAAAACCTAAATAACATTCTAACAGACAAGTTGAGTAAAAACGTGTGAGAAATCTCTAAAGAACTCAAAAACTACAAAAAATTTCTCCTGTAAAGATCAGTAACAAATATGTCGATTCATAATATCTAGAAAAAGTGTAACCAAATATAGAGTCCTAGTGAAACAATATTGCGTAACACTACACCACAGCCATTCTAGTGCCACTCACAAGGCAGATCCAATGACAGAAACTACAAGGCCAAATATGCTCAAGTTACTAGTATATGCTTTTACTCCTTTCCAAGAAGTCAAACAAAAATGTAATTTAAGTGCTATCACACATCATTTGTTTTCAGATCGAAGGAAGACTGATAATGAAGCAACTCTGCAGCAAAGACCTTTCTAATTCTAAGATATGAAGACAAACTCTTCAGGATTCATGGGCAATTAACAGACATGGAAGCAATTTCACATAGAAGAGACCGCATGCGTGTGAGAGAAAGAGGGGGTGAATGGGGAATCAAATTAACTGCAAAACACTCGTCAGCAGAGCCATAAAGGTAACCACAAAAATTTAACAGCCAGTTGAGCTTTTCCTGTCTATTTTTTGGGGGTCAATGCCAGTTGCAAGTGTGATATTACAAACCTGTGGAGCTGATGAAGTCATGACCAAAAGACCCCCAGTCTAAAGACATTTGAAATAATTTTTCTGAAGGCGTGTAGAACCAGTCCAGATGTGAGAGTATCATGCTCCAGATTAAATTACAAAAATAGAAAAAAGACACAATGGGACATAGAATTTCTGGTTAAATCTTTGGAAATTCATTGAATATTTTAGGAAACCGGTATCCGATGGGGCACAGCAGCCCAAAAAAATGGAATGCTCAAATTGTAAGCCTTTTAAATACATAAATTGGAGTCGGGAGATAAAATAATAACTTTACATACAAGTCCAATATCACCTTAATTGAAAGCAGAAGAGGAAAATCATTTACTTTTTTTTTCCTCTAGGCCCTGAATTTATAAAACCAAAGGATGCAGAAGCAAAAATATATAATACCTTCTGAGGAACTTCAAATACAAAAAGTTCATTCCATTTTGCGGTGCCTTCATCAAGACTACAGGTTTTGGAAATTACTGGCTTAACACATTTGGTCCTTGCACTCTGAGGAAAAAGCTTTTGCTGATTAATCTCCTGACTATCAATGACAAGGCGCAAAGCACAGAAGAAGTTATTGCTGTTTCCATCATCAACAATTGGTAAGCCCTGCACAAGTGAAGCAAGTTCACATTTCCTTTTCAAAAGCAAGCATAAATCTCGGAATGGATGACTGATTAAATTTGGTGATATTAAAACCTTGGCTTCAAGAATCTGTACAGCAACATAACGCCTTGATTCCCTTGATTTATCTGCAATATTTAACCTGTCGGAATACCTTGGAGGTGGGATCCATACAGAAACACAACCCTCATGAGGTAACAATTCAAGTGTATCAAGATTTTGCTCAGCTTTCTTCAGATATATATCACACCCGAGTTTATTTTCTATTATCAATGTCTGAAAATCATCCTGATCTAAGGCAGAAAAATTTGAATCCTCTCCATGTCCATGAGAATGACCAGCTTTCTGCAAAGATAGGGAGATGTCAAGAATCCTAAACATCAACTATACATGAAAATACCTAAGAACTTGTGAGAAATGAAAAAAGTTGACTTTATTTGACCTCATTCTGTTTGATAGCTTTCTGTTCAAGTTCTCTCTGTCTTCTCCATGAAATCACAGTATCTGTAAATGTATCAAGATTCGCCACACTGATATTTATATTCAGGATACTGGTAGCAGCAACACGTGCCCTTTTTCCGAGTCTTGATGGTGGTTGCAAATTGGTATCATATGTTTCAAACCTTTCAAAAGCAAAAGAACAAATTAACGAAGCTCACCATATTAATAAGAACTCATTTGATATTATATTAACTTGATATATAAATCAACACATTAAAGTACTAGAGATAATATGTTACTTAAAAATTCCATCAAATGGCTCCACAAGTGGCTCCCATGCTTCTAATTGTGTGTTGAAGGTTGAAGCCGCAATAGAAGAAATAAGCACAGCATTCATTGCCTCCAGTCCACCATGTGTTGCAAGCTTGACATTGGTGATTGTGACATCGACAAGTGGTGTAATCTGAAAAATTCAAAATTTATGAACAAATTAATAACAAAAAATAGGAAATTCCAAAAATCAAGGGATAGAAAATGTATTTTCCTTAGGATTTTACCATTCCACATAAGCTGTCTAAGACAGTCACAGAAACACATCTTAATTTCATCTCAGCAGTTATGTTGTCCTGTGTCTTAGGCTTCACAGAATCGCCAATAGTAAATGCCAATCGGCTGGAAGGTTTTTTATGATCAGAGCGTGCAAGGAATGTGCAGGCCTACAAAACAAGTTTATTTGTGTTGAGAGGTTTAAAATACAAAATATAACAAATTTGCACCTTTAAAAGAAACAATGATCAGTTCCCTTTCCACATAAAGCTCAGAATGAAAAAAAATGTTCTTTTTTATCAGCCACTATGAAAAGGGTAAATTACATTGACACCCTTTAGGTTTCTAACAATTGCAGGGACACCCCTTTGGGTTTTTGAAATTAAACCAACACCCCTCAGGATGTGACAGTTTGTAACGACCTCCCCCTTCTGTTTCTAACATGGTTGATCTTACCAACAGTCCATAAAAAACGACGGTGGTGATGTCTTACCAAGAGAGGGAAAAGAGACATGAAGGAAGCTAGGTTGCAAAGGTGATGGAGGGCGATGGTGGTGATGTGTTTATTGAGAGAGAGAGAGAGAGAGATCTGGCAAACAAATAAAGATACAACAGACNAAAGGTGATGGAGGGCGATGGTGGTGATGTGTTTATTGAGAGAGAGAGAGAGAGAGAGATCTGGCAAACAAATAAAGATACAACAGACATGTTGTGATTGTTTGGCAACCCAGTTACAGCTGCCCAATCCAGGTTCATTTTATATTGGGAAAAAGAACAATGGACAAGGTTAAAAGTGGAAAATTGGAAGCTCTGTTGAAGGCCACGGCCAAAACGGGGTCCGTGCCATTTGAAAAACCCAATGCAATGTCTCCGATATTGTCAGATATTCCAAAGGGTGACAATATTATTTAGCCATATCAAAAATTCAAACCATGGGTTCAGCAAACAGTAATTTAGACCTGATTTTCAACTTTCCAAATACTCCAGCATTGAGATGCCTTCAAACTCGAAGATCTTGAAATGGGCATTTGAAGAATATTAGCTTCGCTAACCAGATCCATCCTCGGGCAGCAAAATGAATCCAGGTGTGGTGCTTCATCTGTTCGGGAGACTATGCATCCAAGAGAAGCAAAACCAGGGGGAGCAATTGGGTACCAGAAGAAAGCTTCATCCAGACCTTTCCCCACAATGTGAGAAACTTTAGTAAACTGAACTGGCTTTGCTGAGACCTCGGCATTATCAGCCTTGAAAATTATGCCCATAACAGGTGGTTCCAAACTGATAGGAAAAAAATGTATTACCAGATATTGACGAATAAGAAAGTATAAAAAAGATGCATACCAAAGACAATATCATATGAAAGGAAAACACGGAAAATACAAGATCTAACCCTTCAGTTATGCAATCACCCAGTACGCCATAACCAGGACGTGGTAGGGGTCGCCATATGGAGACTGGTCGGCGGAGATCACTACCCTTGTCCCACCAGACTCTTTCGAAGTTTGGGGTTGAAATGTAACAGTTAGTTGCTTTTGAAATTGATCTGAGAATGTCCCATTCAGCTGAACCGGAACTCTGGTTACTTGTGTGCTGATTCCCAGTGTCATTGTCAACAGATAAATCTGAGGTAGACTCTTCCATGGAAGAATGATGCTGTATTGAGTTACATACAAGAAGATGATTCAGGTCACAGCAACTTTTTTTGGGAGGACAAGAAGCTGAAGGATGGGCATAAAATGAGCCAAGAACATTGTCTAAACGCCAGATGCTAAATCCAGACGCAAAGGAAGCATTTGAGAAAGTACTGAACATGCATTCTGAATAAGTTGTGGATGTCACAAGATCAGAACGTATGCAGTGAACAATGTGATTTGGCGGTGGTTGGCTCCCCACATTTGCAACAGAGCCTATAGCCAAATATCCTGGTGGAGGAATGGGTATCCATAGCGAACAATCACCGCCAATATCAGAACGGCCTTCTACTCCTTCCAATCTTTGAATACCAGGAAATATGCCTATGCACTTGAAACCAATAGGCTTTCGTACACGCCCATATGTACAACACACGGCCATTACTGCTTGTGAGGGAGGAATTGGTCTGAAGACACAGTGGCAAAACCAAACAAAGAATGAAAAGAGAACTGGAAATATAAAACGATATCATCACATTCAGATAATGGCCTAAGCATCATCCATAAACAGAGAACAGGGACCAGCTTTTATATAAAATACGAATAAAACAAAGTGGAAAAAATAACCATAATTTGAGCATGCCATGGAATGAAACTGTAGATAAAACATACGTAAAGAAACAAAATTTAAAATTGAGTAGCATGTCCTTCTTCAAACATTTTTGTTGTTGGAAAAAAGGCTTTATTGAGTTGAGTAGGGAAGTTGAAGAAAAAAAAAAGCTAGCATATGCAAAGAAATACTTTTCTTCTTTTCTTTTTCTGGATCCCTAAATTTTCCCTCCATGAATGCAACCGCAATAAATGCCGAGCTGCCAGTTGACATGCCCTCATGCAGCCACACATTCCCACATGAAAAAGCAGATATTGAATCAAAGTCTTGAACAAGGCGAACATGTTCAAGAGAGACACAACCCAAAGGAACATATTTTGGTGATGAAATGTTAAGGAAATTTCCTATAATTGATCCACAATAACTTACATTTACAAACCAAACAAGAAAAATGTCAAATTCGAATGATGGAACTTTTCCATATAATGGACCCTTGTCTCATTTGAAAATCTAGCAGTACTTTACCTTGATGTCACACAATCTCCCAATATAACATAATTCGAAGGAGCTCGAGGCCTCCAAAAAGTAAGGTTGTTAAGGAGCCCATTTTCTGCACATATATAATTAAGTATGCTGTTAAAGTCAAACATATTTACAGACTACGACAACACAAGAACTGGGAACTACATCACAGAATAATATCATTCCCCCCCCAAAAAAAAAAAAAAAAAAAAACACGAACAAAAAAAAAGCCAAAAAGAACTTCAATGAGTCATGCCAAGTAATAGGACTGTGTATGAACAAGAAACACCTTTTGGCGACACCCAAACTCGGTCAAAGTTAGTACAAGGAGACAGAGGATCAGCATTGCCAAATTGTAACGCTGCAGTTGCCTGACTTTGCAGGTTAAGTAGAAGGGAAATGACACTCAGAGAAAGATGGACATATATATCAGTGGATATCAGGGATATGTTTGTTTTATCTTTAACGGAAGTATATCCCCCGGAAATATCCACTGGATCAAGTATAATGAGACCAGAACCAGCCTCAACAGTAAGATCCTTCATAAGTGCTCGAATCCAAGTATCATTTTCTTTTGATGCGTACCTGTTTGAGAAAAAAAAAAGTGAGGTAATAAAGTCAAATAGGGGATAAATTTATGTAAAAGATACACATTATATAAATATTTTGGTAAATGGTCAAAAGTTTTCTGGTCTACTGATGGTAGAAGCCCTACTCTTTTTGCCAAGGAAACTCACCAAGTTCTCAGAAACTTACCCAGCAGCATATCCATATTTTCCATAAAAAATGTATTGACTTTGAACCCGCAAATAATTAGCAATTCGCTTCTTTATATGTGCTTAACGCTGATAAAAAAAATGTCTCATCCAAGGTCTAATATAAAAGCATCAGAGGCAATAACAATGAAGACTCAGACAATAATGTGTAACAATATTGAAGGTGACTCTATAATTACTGGCCCACATAATACTAACTGAAATCCGATGCAAAACAGGCCGCTCTGTACTATGTGGATTCTTGTGGTATGCACAAATATGAAAGTGATCAAATTCAGTAATAATTATTCTGGGGTATAAGTATGCTCGCTTGAGTTAATAAAGATAAATCTTATCACATTATCTTATCTCTTTCTAGTAGTTGAGATAACTAAGATAGAAATCATCAACTGCATATTATATCAATAATTGTTTGCAATGTAATAGAGCAGTCACAGCAAAACAATAACTTTTCCCGTTAATCTACATTTTTTTGCCTCCTTTACCAAAGAAACAGTCATTACTTCCTCTGCATTCACTTTCTCTCTATTTCCTGTACATTCAAACCCGGATATTATTCCATGAAACTGCATTATCGTAGTTCTTAGATCAAAAATACATGAAATGGATGCATGAATATTTATGCCAATATTTCAGTACTACTATAAAAGAAACCTTGCATTACCTCACCATCTCTAAAGAGACAACTTTCAAAAAATAAAGGCAGAGATGAAATATGTTGAAGAAAATGGTCAGTCTTACATGAAGCTGAAATCCATTTTTGCACGGAGAAGCTTTTCACCATGTGAGGAATCATCCAGGGATGACTTACTACTGTCGTAGAAGGTGAACTCAGGAGACACAACCTGGGGAATGTAAGAAATTACACAAATAAAAATAAACACAGTCTTACAAATAAAAAAAAAGAGAAAAAACAAAAGAACAATACAAAAGTCCAAAGATCATAAGCAATTCATCTAATATTAACAAGCTTTACCATCAACTCTTTTCAAAGGATAATGTTTTTTAAAAAGGGCAAAAGTAACTTTATCCCCATGGTTCACCCCTTAAGCAAAGATCAAAATTCATTTCGGTACATAGTTTCGATCAACTTAAAAATAGGAATGTTTTGCAAACGTTTTAGAAACATCCCGGGGAAAAAAAATTTAGAATGTATTTCCGCAACATTGGTCGTTTCGATGTACATGAATGGAAACATTTCGTTTCCATAAAAATAAAAAACTAATTTTGATATTGGGTAACGCGCGAGCCTATTTCGAGAGTAGATATATGTCACATTAGTTCAATCAATCTTGTAGTATCCCAATTTATTTATTTTTTTCTCTTTTTAAGATTAGTAGAAATATTGTTTGTAGAATTGAAAATTTGATGAAAGATTTTTTGTGGGAAGAAAGTGGGGGAAGAAAAAATGATCAACTTGTTAGGAAGGAGGTAATTTCCAAATCAAAGTGCAAAGGGGGTTTGGGGGTGGGAAATATAGTGAAAACTGAAAAGAAATATTGAATTGTTAAGTAAGTGGTTATGGAGATATTCATGGGACCTGGGTGCTTTATGGAATGAAGTTATCAAAAGTAAATATGGATTTCATCCAAAGAATTGGGACTTGTATGTGGTGGTTAGGGGCTCCTTTCGTGTCCTTGGAAATTATTTCCTAGGGTCTAGAAGAGTTCATGACTCATGTAAGAGTTGGTGTGAGGAATGGTGGTAGAATTCGGATTTGGAAAGATATATGGATGGGTGATTCTTCATTTTCAATGTCTTTTGACTCGAGTTCAAGAAGCCTCTATTGCTAGTATGTATTGTGATTCTTCAAGTCAAGAGGGTTGAAATTTTAATTTATTTAGAGTTTTGAATGATAGGGAAGTGTTAGAGCTCTCATCTTTGTGGTCTAGCCAATCGGTTTCCTTAATTCGGTGGATAGGGGATAAAAGAACATTGATCCTTAATTCATCTAGGGGCTTTTTTTGCAAATCTTACTCCTATGCTTTAATTAATGATCAATCCACTCCTATTTTGAACCCCACAAGATGATTTAGAAGGCCAAAGTACCGGTGAAAGTTCAAGTATTTGCTTAGACTGTAGCTTATGAAAAACTCAACACTTGTGATTTATTGCAAAGAGAAGACCAAATTATTGTCTTGCACCACAATAATGTATAGTGTATAAATAAACCAGTGGAAGTGTGCGGTTTCCTTAATTCCGTGGATAGGGGATAAAAAAATATTGGTCCTTAATTCATCTAGGGGCTTTTTTTGCAAATCTTACTCCTATGCTTTAATTAATGATCAATCCACTCCTATTTTGAACCCCACAAGATGATTTAGAAGGCCAAAGTACCGGTGAAAGTTCAAGTATTTGCTTAGACTGTAGCTTATGAAAAACTCAACACTTGTGATTTATTGCAAAGAGAAGACCAAATTATTGTCTTGCACCACAATAATCTATAATGTATAAATACCTAGGTGGAAGTGTGAATCATCTCTTTTTATATTGTCCGGTAGCTCTAAGGTTGTGGTTTAAAGTTTATAGTGAATTTAACTTGAGTTGGGTCATTCCAAAGAATGTGTATCATTGTTCGAAACAAATAGAAGTGTTTTTGGAAAGAGGAGAAGAGAATCTATTTTGTTTGAATGTGTGGTTATGACAATCTTTTGGGTGATATGGTTTGAAAAGAATAGAAGAATCTTCGAAGACAAAGAGAAGTAAGGGGAGTTCCTTTGGGGGAGAATAAAGTTCTTGGTTTTCCTATGGGCATTGACCACTAAAGAATTCAAGGATGTGCCCTTTTTCTCTCTTACAATTGATTTGAAGGCCGTATATAGCTCGATAAATACTTCTTTAGACATATAGAGCAGCACTTAAGTATTTATATTTTAACACTCCCTCACTTGCACGCTAGATTTTGGACCTAGCACGTGAAAATCTTTTTAATAATTAAGGTAGTAGCAAGATTCGAACATAGGACTTCCTGCTCTGATACTATGTTAAACAGCCACCTAATCCAAAAATTTAAACTGTTGGAGAGGAAGTATAACTTAAATATTTATATTTCAACAATAACCATCTCTATAATAGGGTGGATATCTTGTCCATTATTATGTAAGATATTCCATTGTTAATAAAGGTTTTGTTTTTTATCAAAAAACAAAAAGTTAAATATCATATTGTAAATTATTTTTTGAAGATAAAAAACACCCTTCTAAGTTTTTTGTAATTATAAAAAAATATCAATGAATCCATTCTGAACCAAAAGGACTAGCCTAGTACATTATTAGCTAACTTACTGATGAATTGTTACGTCCTTTTATCTCTTCTTTCTCTCTCGCTTCTCTATCTTTTCTCTCTCCACCCTTCTTCTCACTTCGCAACCACTCTAATTTTGTTGTCGGCGTACTTAATCCATCCAACTGGATTTGGCCTCTAGAAATGTCCATAGCACACCAGTTCTTGATCAACTTATCTCCCACTAGCAAAGAGAAGAGCTTTGATAAAGTAATCGCTAACAAATATGTAGTTTATGATTAAGGAATCTGCAGATACCATGACAATCTCTGGGAACTAGAGCAAATATGGATTCTAATAGATTAAGGATTGTACTGCCGAGGATGAAGAAGAAACGCTGCAATTTGTTAGGGTTGGATGTGCTCCTTAAGGTCAATCTCGACAGAAAGACATATAGAGATGGAGATGTAGGTTTGGGAATCTGATTACAGACTATCGCTGGAGCCAATGCCCTAGGATCTGATAGCACACCCCTATGTGTTGATGTCAACAGAATAGTGGTTTGCGCTATTTAAGTCTTTCTTGATATTGGTGATGGTGTTTGAGTTTTTTTATGTGATGAAGAAAAGGATATATATATATATATACATATAAAACATTGCAACAGTCACATGACACGGGTTTTTGTGTGATGGTGGCCTGTTTGAGGCACATCAGTTTGTAATGGTGGCGGTGCAATGGTGTTGGTATTGTTATGCCGATGGTGTTGAGTGGTGATGGCGATTTTGAGAGAAAGCATGAGAGAGTGGTCCAAAGACTAAGGTCCACAGGAGAAGAACAACAAAGGCAGGAAGGGTTGCAAAAGAAAAAAATGGGTGGGGCTCCATCAAAAAAGAAGATGCAGATTTGAGAAAGGTATTAAGGTCATTTAAATTTTACAGTGTACGATGTGTGTTTTAGTCCAGAAACCACATAAAGGCTATTTGGATAGCTTTTAATATTAGGGGATTGTGTCCATAAAGGGAAATCCACAAGGGATAAAATTGGGTTTGCCAGAAAACAACCAATTAATTTCCAATACTTATTCTATAAGTTGCAAGTTGTACTATTATTTCGAGTAATCTGCATCAAAATAATAATAATAATAATAATAGTGACAAATTCTACATATTGATGGTGTCGCTTCCATAACATTAGACGATCACCTAAATAAGTCACCCTCTCAATGCTTTCCTTTAAAAGGAACTAGTGAAGCATTTTGCAGTTAGAAATGTTTGCTAGAGTTTAGTGAAGATGGCAATGGAATAAGTTTTTATTTAAGACAACAGTGGAGCCATAATTGTGGAGATAGAGGAGAAGATGGATTGGGATGAGATATTCTTGAATGACATATATATTGGGGTGATAGAAGTTGTTCGTAGTCTCTGCATGTATGTATGAAGAGTTTATGACTTCAAATCCCAACACATGTATTTTCAAAGATTGAAAAGAATATTCAAGAAGCATCAGTTACAATGTAAAATTCTATGGCCTTGGAGAAAATATTGTAAGAATTAAACAAAAAAAAACAAAGAGTATTACAAGATTAGGTTGCATACCTACATCTAAGAATATATACGTACAAGCACTAATACAGTTATAGTAAGTACGGAGAGACCCTTAAACTTAAGTGAAGCATGACATAACACTCCTCAAGTTGGGGCATAAGCATCTCTCATTGCCAACTTGTGAGCAATTAAGTGACATCTTGCCACTAAGTCCTTTGGTCAGCCAACCAGTCTTCTGAAATTATAAAGGATATACAAATTAAACCCTTGTTTAGCTTTTCCTTGATATAGTGCCAGTCAATCTCAATAATAAACTCAATAGTGAAGTGAGCTTTAAGTTTTTAACTACCTGTGTATCATTTATTGTAATTACTGAAACATCCACATATACAAGGAACCAGAAATCTTGGCATTAGCATGTTGGTTAAACGTAGAATGATCCGCATGGCTCTATTTGTATCCAAATTACTACACAACTTCGAGAAACTAGTCAAATCAAGCTTTGGAGACTGGTTCAAGTTCAACCCATGTACGGATTTTTTCAACATACACTCCTTTTGTTTAGTTGACTGGGATGCAAAAACTAGTGGACTCTTCGTATGCACCTCATCCACAAAATCACCATGAAGAAAAGCATTCTTCACATCTAAGGATTGCAGACTCCAACCTAAATTAGTAGTACAAGAAAAGAGAGCACATATGGAGTTTTTTTTGGCTTGGACATGAATAAAAACATAGGCAGTGGTAGTGAGAGGAGTGGTATATACCTCTTGGATTCTCTTCCATATGGGTCCCTGATAAGAGACGGTTTCAGTCTACTAGTTGTGATATTAGTTATTTTGAAAATCAGCTCATTCAATGGCATTAGCTCTTTGGCCACTCTTCTTTTTCATTCTTGTAGAAGTTGTTTTTGGTTTTGTTTCTTCAGTTAAATGTTTCTCAGCTTCATTGTGAAGTCTGAGAACTTGCTAAACATAGTCTAATCGTGTTTCTTTTTTTCTTAGATTAAATAAAAGCACTTGACCTTTCTCCCTCATTTCGATGGGTTATCAATAGTTAGTTACATTTAGTGATGATTGTTCTTGTACTACCTTGGTGTATTTTCCACATAAAACAAGTGAGATCTTCTGCTTTAAAAAATTTCTATAGCATGACTCCTACTCGGTATGCAAAAGTAATGTGCTATGGTATGACAATGGTGGTGAATATGCTGATGGAGAATTTAGTTCATAATTTAGTTCATGTTTGGATAATAATAGCATTATTCATCAGACAACACCTGTTAGTACTTCACAACAAAATGGAGTATATGAGCATAAGAATTATCATATGTTAGAGGTTGCTCGTGCACTTTTGTAGACTAAGCATGTTCGCAAAACTTTTTGGGGGAGATGTCTACTTAGGGCAGCTTACCTCATTAATCGAATGTCTCTCGGGTTTTATTTTGTAAGTCTCCCTCTCGAGGTCTTGGTTTTTCATCCTTGTGTTTCCTATTCTCACTCAAGTATTTGATTGTGTCTGCGTTTTCATGTATAATTCGTAGTGCACTAGCAACGTCGAAGCTACTGTGGAATTCAGCAACATATTCAAGACAAGAAATCGACAATCTGTGGATTGAATTGATTTAAGCCTTTTGAGTCCTGAATGTGTTGAGTTGTTTTTCGTCTTCAAGGCTAGACTAGATCCCAAGATTTTTATTATTTGGATTTTCATTTCAAAAGTGTCTTTATTTTGTGTGATTAATTGATTGATTGATCCAAACACGGTAAGTTGATGTATCTATGAGATCAAGGATCAAAATATCATGTCGAAACGTCCAAAAAATTTCCGTTTCCAAGGAGACCGAAACGAATAATTGATTGAATTGAAATTTCAATACTTCAAGGTATTTCAGAATGTTGAGTTTTTTTTGAGATGTTTCGATATGTTTTCAACAATGTTTTTGAATGTTTTGAAATATTTCAAGATCTTTAACTATATTCAGACTAATACTTTAAAATGTTTTGAAAATAAATCCCTAAATTTTTATCCATTTTTATTATGTTTTCGAAACATTTCCATTTCTTATGCGACCGAAACAATGCGCCGAAACGATATTTTAATCCTTGCATGAGATATTAATCATAGGTGATTAAACAATCCTGGTGTAATGACATATGATTTCATCAGCCTATAGCCATATCCACACTTGATTGATTTATTGTTTTATTCCCATATTGTGAATTAGTTTCTGGCTTGGTAATTAATTTTTAATCTGTGATAAAGGCTTATTTCCCCCCCCCCCCCCAAAAAAAAAAAAAAAAAGTCAGTATTAGGGTATTTTGACATGGTCCAACATAATTTCACAAACAACCAAGGTGGTTACCGCATAGAGTTAATAGCATGCCCATGTACAGAAATATAAACCAATATAACAAATTTTATTGCAGAACAATGGAAGAGAAGATATTTTCATATATATAAAGCGAAGACAATACTGGATGAACAAACGAGACAAGATATCATGTATGTAAATGTAAGTAATTCAGTTCCAAAACCCTACCTGGGCCTCAAAACTAAAACTTTGGGTGTTACTTGATTCATCTTGAATACAATCGGAAGCATTTGAAGTATATGATAATTCTTCCACATAATCTGGACTCCTTTTTGCACAGTTAAGAGAAGTATTGTCCTGCAACAAGATTTCAACACCATCTTCCAGGGAGACCAAGTAGCTGCTATCGTTACTCAAGTATGTATACCTCCTCCAAAGGGAACCATTCTGAAAATTAGCAAAAGATGGATGGAAAATTACCCAAAGTCACAAACATACACCCAATGAGAAGATTCTTTCGCCTTGATGAACATAAAAATAAGGAGCGGCAGTTTGACATCTTTCCCCAAATCTCCACACAGTGCCAATTAAAGCAAATACAAGTCTAAAATGCATACTACATGTGTAAAAAACACATTCCGTAGAACAGTTCCAAACCTTTCTTGCATATCTTAAGGACTCATATAAAATCAACAAGGATAATAGCTCACTTCAAGGTAAAAATTTGGCTTCATACACGATAATGCAAATAATCAGTCAGGTAAAAACTGAACCCCTAGCCATATCCCTTCTTCAAATTCAATGTACTCACAAACTACAAAATGATCAAACAGAGATGCTCAGTTTACACAGGTGCCCATTTTTAAAATTTACAACCCCATGGATTCTCCAGTCAATGGCTAATCCACAAGGCTAGAAGAAGGCCAACATACAGTGCAAACAGACAGCAATAGATCATGCATTAATGAGTATGACACAAATAATTCAGTTGCATTTGTTGACGTTTTAATATTCACCAAATTAGCATCGAGTCTGAAATCAAAACTAACTAACCATACAGAAATAAATAAATAAATAAAAAATGACTCTTACAAGGTACATTGCGAGATTTAAGATTTGTTCTGAAGCAGACTTGGTTCATGAATTTATGATTGTATGTATCTAGTCCAAATGACTAAAAGTAAAAGGTTGCAGCTTTTCTTCAATTATATGCATATCAGCATATGTATATAGTATATTCATACGAATATTCTCAACTCAACAAAGTATTGTCCCAACATATTTGGGGCCGCTACATGAATTTTATATTATCATGAATCATATTTTTTTTTACCATTTCAATTAAAGTTAATTTTCATCTTCCTCTACCGTCAATAGCTATCATATCACTCTTTCTGACCAGTGCCATAGTAGGCCATCTATAGATATCTTCAAACCATCAAAATCGATTCTCCCTTAATATATCTGTTGTATGTGCTATCTCTACATTTTCACGATTATAATCGTTCATAATTCTATCCTTCCTTGTTTTGGCGCTCATCCATCTTAACATTCTCATCTCAGTCACACTTATGTTATTTCTTAGTTACACAATACTAAGTAGCATAAAGCAAAGCGATTTTTATGGTCATCCAATGGAATTTTCCTTTTAGCTTAAGGCGGGGCAGAACCAAAATTTCTCCAAAGTGGGGGTCAACTATCGAACAAGAGAGAACAATCGAACGACAATCATGAAAATTCATTGCGCTTTGTGAACAAATAGTGAGAAGGCCTTAGACGGTTGGATTTGGATCGAATTTTGAGTGATCCGACTCCGATTTGAAAATGTAGCTCTAAAATCGACTTGGAAACTCTTTTTTGAATTCAATCCGATTATCTAACNTGAACAAATAGTGAGAAGGCCTTAGACGGTTGGATTTGGATCGAATTTTGAGTGATCAGACTCCGATTTGAAAATGTAGCTCTAAAATCGACTTGGAAACTCTTTTTTGAATTCAATCCGATTATCTAATGAATTTTTTTTTTTCAATTCATATCCATTTAAGTTAAAAAATAGAAATCAGATCAAATCGAAAGTCAACTAAAATTGGATTTTATTACATCTTAATTTTGATTTAATTTCATCAAATAAGACTCAATTTCATCTTATACTTATCTACATATATATAAATTGGATCAAATCGAATTTTGGTATATCTAAATCTGAATTTCTAAAATATTATATAACTGATTCTAACTCAAATAGTCAATCAAAAATATCAATTCGTCCCGACCAAAAATTCGAGTTAAAATTTCATCTATTGACAAGGCTAACGGCATGTTTGGTTTGCATCTCAAAAAATAGTATCTGAAAACTATTTTTGGGAAGAGTTTTAAAAAAGTGTTTTTAAAAAATTTTAGATTGCAAAACCTGTTTGGTTATATATTTTTTAAAATAGTTTTAAAGAACAAAAAATAGTAAAACTTGTTTGGACAATGATCCATAAAACCAATTTTTAACTTTTCACTTATCATTAAATAAAAAAACTTATCACTCCAACAGTCACGTTCATCGTCTACCCACACAACATTGCTCTTCTCCATTATCTTTTCCCACTACAAGTCTTCCTCTCTCTCTCCATTATCTTCCACACAGCAACCATCTCTCTCTGTTATCTTCTCATCCAACAAAAATAAACACACAGCCATAGCACATCGCACACACAAAAATTATATAGATCTGTATACTGAACACAAATCTGTATATATACACAAATCTATTGCGCAGAGAGAGGAAATGAGTTGGAGAAGATGAACAACTGATCTGTGTTCATCCGGTGGAGAACATGAACAGTCGGTCACATTTTTTGAACAGTCGATCTGTGTTCAGCCGGTGGAGAAGAACAGTCAGTCACATTTTGTCTCCAACAAAACTCAAAAGGAAGACCTCATTAATTTGGAGTTATGTGTTTCCTGTGTTTTCATTTTACCTTAAAAAATAATGAAAACACTTTTTTGTTGTTCTCTAAACTCAAAAGGGAGACCTTTTTGTTGTTCTCAAAATTTTCAAAAAATTGGAGAACAAAAAAACTAAACAAACAAATTTTCCTTATTTTTAAAGTTTTGAAAACAAAAAACTGTATTTGAAAATCTAATCAAACATGCCCTAAGTTTTTTAATGTATGAAAGAATCTCTTTTATTTTTTAGAATATGAAACAATTTTCAATTTTTTTATAGATTTTTCGGTGGGGGCAAATTTTTCTAAATTTATAAATTTGTAAATAGACCCCAAAAAATTTTGGAAATTGTACTGNGTATGAAAGAATCTCTTTTATTTTTTAGAATATGAAACAATTTTCAATTTTTTTATAAATTTTTCGGTGGGGGCAAATTTTTCTAAATTTATAAATTTGTAAATAGACCCCAAAAAATTTTGGAAATTGTACTGGACGCAATTGCCACTCTGCCCCCATTGCCACTACCCTCCCACCAACCCTAGCTTCAAGGGGTATGTGACTATCACAAAAATGACCAAATGCATTCCTGCATTTAGTCTATCTTACTTTAATTCTATGAGTAACATTGTCACCAAACTCAACACACTTTATGAGTAATAAACCCTAAATATTTAAATTGTTCACTGTTCGATATCTCTTTATCTTCAATTTTTACTATTTCTCAGTTTGGATTCCTTCTTTTATTAAAATTACATTTCATATATTTAGTTTTAATTCTACTTATATTAAATCATTTTGATTCTACAGCTTCTCAACACATTTCTAGTTTATTATTAATTCCTTCTTTACTTTCACTAATTAATACAAATATGATCCACAAATAACATACACCGTGAGAGCTCATCCTGAATGTGTCTAGTCAATTCATCAATAATCAATGCTAAAAGATACAGAGTCTTACCAAAACCCTAAAAGGCATCCAACCCAAATACAATTGACAATGAGCAAAGAGGTCCACAAGGCTTATATAATTTGGGAAGTGTTATTTTATTAATGTGAGACAAACTCTAATACTCCACTTGACGTGCGACCTCCACTTGCACAAGGAGAGATAAGTAGAACTAAAAGATGAAACTACTGCACTTATGACACAAATTAAAGGCGAAAGGATTACCAAATCGATAAAATTGAGTCTTGCCCACACCCTCTCCCATCCCAGCTTCGATACCATGTTAGAGACACTCAACCCAAAATCAATCTCCTCAACCATATAATCTTGAGTGGCCCTAATCTTTTGATGTGGGACCTAAGCTCTCTTCTCACACAAAAGACCCATATTTATAGAAAGTTGTTTCTAAAAACCTTAAACCTCAAATATATATGCATTGCAGGTAATTGGTGATTGGTGAGCCACTTATTCCATTACTACCTCTCTGTACAGAATCTGGAATAAAAATTAACTCTCACACACGAATAAATGAGCAAAACTCATAAGTCATAATCATACTGCTGCCACTCAACGGCAAAATAGAAAAGTTAGAACATAAACTAGAAGGTGAACAAGGAATGTTTGGCTCACATAGTGTGGAATAACAAAGATAGATCATTTAAGTTTGTGTCATAATCTCAGGAAATGAAAATGGCCAAGATGCAAATAAAGGGACACTCTAGAAGGGATTGTTCACTTCATTTCATATCTTGGAAAAAACTTAATTTGGACTAAATAATGCCAATCTAAAATGGAACAAAAATTTTAGTTCAAAGCCCTAACTGATGATTTTAGCCTAAATGACAGATAAAAAACAAAATACTTTTGCCTAAATGAAGATGTATTTCATTTTCCTTCAGCATTACTCACAACTACTTGATTAGCATCAAATGTTTAAAGCATATTTTGATGCTTCTTTAAGATAAGTATGTCAACAAAAAAAATTGGGGGGAAAAGGTAGGTACCTCAATCTTCACATTTACAAATCGCAACCTCTTACCACGTCCAATAATAATAATAGGTTGATACCCTGAAGCATGGCCGGCCTTTATTTCTTTTCCTTCTCCTAAACAAATAGTCTTCCCACAACCGTCATATGTATATTCATCAACTCCAAGAGCATCTGCCACTAGCTGTCTATTTGGAGACAGGTGTACTACATCCTCTCTCTGTTTGTAAAGAGGAGTCGAGAGCACTATGCTGTTGCTCTTGCTAATAGGATCATTCTTAGGGTCCATCAATTCTTCCCTGCCAGTTATCGTTCCCAAAGCTGGCACAAAAAACTCCCCAATAGCAAGAAGGAAATCTGGAACGACAAGAACTCGAGGCTGCTGAACACGAACCACAAACAATTTGGATGCTGATCGCCACCTGCAGTCCATCAAGAACATAGTAGAGTTTGGTTCATCCATGCTGGCTTCAGCTTCTGTGTCTATTCTAGTAATGCCACCTTTATCTAGAGAGAATGGAAAACTTCCAGTTGAAGCTTGTTTTGGAACATCAGTACATGACCCAAGCATCAGGCGCATTTCAGGTTTTGTATCAGGGCGAATGTCCAAAATAGAAAATCTGGGAATGGTTAAATAGAGGTCTGCTTCTGATAACGAAGTCATTCGGTATGACACCCAAAGACCTTCTAGCTGCAACAAATGCAAAACAAGGTGCACATCAACATCGGAACTAAAGGGATATGATGTAATAAAAATTAAAACGAGCTCAAAAAACCCTCATGAGAACGGGCCAGAACTTTAATGCAATAAGTATATACATATACTCACAGCAACATGAGCCAAAGGTGACTCCTCATGAATGCAGGTGCACAACTCTAACAAGGCATGGTCCACTGCCACAGCCATCGTGGTAACTGTACGTGATAGGAAGACATGACTATTCATGTTTACCTTATCTGCCAGCAATCTTATTGTATCTTTTGAACCAGATTTGCTGCCTCGAAAACGAGGAGGAAGTCTTGGTTGTTCATTCAAGTTCATGTAGAAACAATCCAGAATAACAGTATATTCTTTGTCAGACATCACAGCATGCAATAAACCCACCTGATTCAAAGATTCGTAGAAATACAAGATAGTAACTACCAAACTGAATCTATAGGAAAGAGTCGAAACTAGAAACAATTCCAAGCCAATTTAAGTAAATCAAAAGAAAATAGATAAAATACACTGACAGAGGAACTCTAGTGTTAAGTTAAAATTAATAAACGATCCCAGCTCACCATTCTAGTTCTATTTTTTATTTTTTGGGTACATTGGAAAATTAAACACAATCAATAACGACTGCAGGTAAGTCATGTCTTTTGACTAATCTCCTCCCATTTCACCAACTTGCCAGCACTTGAATTCATATGTTATAGCTCTATTAATTCCAGTTTCTGAATAGAAGAAGTCAAAACAAAAGTAAACTACACTGACATTCCCAAGTTTTGGCAAAACAACACAAAAATCTTGACAGTTGAGAAATGTATTGTAACAAATACACCCCCTCCAACCTGACATTAACAAAATTAAAGTTCTAAATCCCACCGATGAGGATCGTGTAGGAATTGGATAGATTAATTATGAAAGATATTTAGATACTTTTAATATTTATCGTTTAAGTAATTTATTTTTACCTTTAAGGGTTTAGTTGTCATTATAAATATTTATTTCTTTTAGAGTTCTTTTAAGATTTGTGCTCTCCCTATATATANATAGATTAATTATGAAAGATATTTAGATACTTTTAATATTTATCGTTTAAGTAATTTCTTTTTACCTTTAAGGGTTTAGTTGTCATTATAAATATTTATTTCTTTTAGAGTTCTTTTAGGATTTGTGTTCTCCCTATATATGTAGGGAATATGGTATTTGTTTTGGAAGACTTTAATTATTGATTATTGATATTGAAACTTCTTTCTAAAATTCTCTCTATTCTCATCTCCTTTTTCTTCTTTTCTCATCCCTTTCTTCTTCCTTTCTCATCCCTAATTCTTCTCTAATACGATCTACATCAATTTGGTATCAAAGCCTAATTTCGATTCGTATAAATCACAAAAAATCTTAACAACGCCATTCATCGAAAAAAAAATTGTTCGCGCGAAATCACTGTTCACCGGCTATCCAGGTAAAAAAAAAAAAAAAAATTCATCGTGCGCACTATTCTGGTCTCGTTCCATTTAAAAAAAAAAAAAACTAAAAACTGTCCCAGCAGATTTAGAAAATTACAGAAAAATCCTAGTTATTCCAGAAATTACAAAAACACCTTAGAAAGTTGCAGAAGTTGCAGAACTATCACCAGAAGTTTCAAAAATTACAAAATCTTCTCCCAGAAGTTTCAAAAATTACATAATCATCCCCAAAAGTTTCAGAATTTTTTCTTGATTATGTATTAGNTAACAACGCCATTCATCGAAAAAAAAATTGTTCGCGCGAAATCACTGTTCACCGGCTGTCCAGGTAAAAAAAAAAAAAAAATTCATCGTGCGCACTGTTCTGGTCTCGTTCCATTTAAAAAAAAAAAACTAAAAACTAAAAACTGTCCCAGCAGATTTAGAAAATTACAGAAAAATCCTAGTTATTCCAGAAATTACAGAAACACCTTAGAAAGTTGCAGAAGTTGCAGAACTATCACCAGAACTATCAAAAATTACAAAATCTTCCCCCAGAAGTTTCAAAAATTACATAATCATCCCCAAAAGTTTCAGAATTTTTTCTTGATTATGTATTAGTCCAGATTTTTATTTGGAAAACATGCTACTTACTCGAGGTACTCCAGAGCTTCCTATTTTGTTATCAAATATTTCTACAAGTGGAATTGCTTCTTCTTCAACATTAGCTCTAACTATTATCTTTCTGCTTCCATCGCGTATTTCAGGGCAAATAGATGATGTGTTACGTGATCAGAATTACATTGCTACAGATGGAGATTCTTGCATTTATTCTGATCGATGGAAAGATATTAATGGTTATTTCATTCTAGATGAGACATTATATCATCTTTATTCTCCTCTCTTGGGGTACTTCTACTTTGAAGACTCTCTAGAGGAGAATTTTTTTCAACCGGAGGAGAATGATGAAGATCGTGTAGGAATTGGATAGATTAATTATGATAGTTATTTAGATACTTTTAATATTTATCGTTTAAGTAATTTTTTTTAACTTTTAAGAGTTTAGTTGCCATTATAACTATTTATTTCTTTTAGAGTTCTTTTAGGATTTGTGCTCTCCCTATATATATAGGGAATATGGTATTTGTTTTGGGAGACTTTGATTATTGATTATTGATATTGAATCTTCTTTCTAAAATTCTCTCTATTCTCATCTCCTTCTTCTTATTTTCTCATCCCTTTCTTCTTCCCTTCTCATCCCTAATTCTTCCTTAATACGATCTACNCTCCTTCTTCTTCTTTTCTCATCCCTTTCTTCTTCCCTTCTCATCCCTAATTCTTCCTTAATACGATCTAAATCACCCACGTTGGCCACTATTTTCATTGGGTTTTCAATTTTTATAACTCAATCAAATCATGGGGTCTCCGTTTTGTTTTACAAAAATTGAAGGGGGTCAGGGATACTTACGCTCAACATAACAATTGGAAACCCCTTTAAAAAAATTAGCTAATGGAATAAGAACCATAGGAAAAGATTGTCCAACAGAAAGATTACCTTCACCTCCAAAGAAAACGTGGGTACTATCCGAAAAATATCTCTTAAACTGCGTCTAACACAAACATGAATATCTCGACCTTCCCGTATCATTGGTTTACCTATTCTACCATCAATTCCTACGGCCATGTTGATTCCCAATATCTGAAAATTTGCAGCCATAGTCAGAATTTTTAATAATTACAACTTCATGCCTGAAACTATAATTAAAACAAAATCAGTTACCTCTGCATCAAGAATGTCAAGATGGACAGCCGAAGGATCTTTCTCTGGGCATCCATGCCAACTGAAATGATTTCTCACCCGTAGATGGCCCAGATCAAGTTGCATGAAACTGCATCAGTTAGAGAGAGAAAAAAAACATTACCTATACACAATAAGTGAATGAATGGAAAAACTGTTCTAAAAATCTTACGCTAAACACAGGTACAGGTCAAAGAATAACCAAAGACAACAGATTACAGTTACTGCCACATAAAAGTCTGCCATAGTCACTGGAAACAACAAAAGAGAAGGGCAAACAAAATCTGAAGTCAAAATGTGTTGGACAAAGATTGATAGGAAAATTCATAAACAAAAAAAAAAGAGACCAAAACAGATATAAATACTGTGTCCTACATCCAATTTTAAGAGAATTTGCATATTTGTTGGCCACAAAAAGCCTTTAGGTTGGGTCCTAGCATCTTGGTTGGCTACAGGAAGGATTAAGGTTGGGCTCACATAGAAAAACATTTTCTCAATGAGATAAACATGTTCATAAATATTTTGGTAAGAAGAAAAACTAGTGTATAGCGATTGTAATCAAACCATACAATACACTTAAAAAATATTTTTACGAAAAAAAATATAGATCCAGTAACACTCGTAAGACCAACTCCACGACGAGAATGAGGATTAAAATGAGAAAAAATGAAGTTCTGAAATGGAAGAGGGTTTTTGAGTACGAATGGGAAAAATACAGAATATGAACAGTAATGGACAAGAAGAGGACCATGTCGATCTAAAAGACAGTCCAAGTAATGAAGAATGAAGATCAGGTGAAAAAAAAAAAAGGTTCCACTAAGCCCATCTGGCAGGGAAAAAATTACTCAACAACTAATTCACCAACAATTCGACCTTTAGAAAACATTTATACAAGTCTCTGGAAATCTGAGTCACACCGAATGAGTGGATATTACTAGGTGGTTCAGCAAACTTCACCATAAGATTCCTCCAACAATGTCAACTTAGACAAGTAAAAACAAAAATCAACTACATGCCTTCATAGGTGTGATCAGAAGACACAAGCTACACACAGTTGTGGTAAGTTAAAATTTACTTAGACTAAAATTTCAACAAAATAATTGCAGCAATGAGGAAACATAGTGTATATAATGTTGTCAGCTATACCTTTCTCGGCCTTTTGGCTAAGATCAAGTATATAATGCTTTCAGCTAAAGTTTAAAGCACTCAAAGCTTACATAACATCTTAAAAAAAGTATAAACTGATTTGACTACAATACATGGGGATAAAGTGTTTAGCATCCCTACTGCAAAAATGAAATTCTTGCAGTACTTTAATTTGTAACGATCAAAAAGATTGAAGACATCAGCTTATCCAATTTATCCACTCCACTCTATTTTGTGCACATTACCATCCAAACCTGTTCAAAAATCAACCTCCTAAAGATCATAAGAGGGCCAATAGATGGTAAACTACTAACTCTTTGCTCATCGAATTCCTTGGCACTATTATTATTGGAGTGTCCAGTGAAAGGTCCAGCTTTAATGCAGAGGCTCCATCAACCTCATATTTCTGAATCAACCACTCAAATCCTCCAACTTTATCAACAAGTTTAATTGCTTCATCAGTGTCTGGGGTAGCAAGCTCCATGAAGTATGCAGTTATCTGTGGAAGTTATGGCCTTAGAAATTGATACCAAACAATAAATTACTTGACAGACAAAAAATAAAATTAAATACTAACTTTCTTAGTGCAGTAATTGACCATAAAGAAAAATTTGAAGCAAAAAACAGTGTCAGCTTAAGAATGGATCAAGACTCAATAGCTTGCACTTGCAATTGAGAAATAATAGCAATGTTCGAACTTACCTCCTGAACAAATCTATAGAGGAATACAATACGAACTGCAGAGAGACGGCCACGCAAGCTATAGTCATAGCCTTCATAATCATCATCTTGGGCGCTATAAGAATGGAATGTAAACTGGGAGAGAGAGAGAAAGACAGAGAGGAGAACCATTTCAGTCAATGATAAAATTTATTGGCTTGAAATGCAAATTTCTGTAAAAGAAATGTCTAGCTACTTGAATAAGAGATTCAGTCCCCTGATTGCGGATGTCACAAAGCCAACCCCAACAGTTATCTGTTCCAAGCGACAGGTCACGGAGCCTCAAGTTTCCCAATGTGCCTTCAATGGATAAGGAACTCGGGTGAACCTTCAAAATCAGAAATAATGAAACGAAACAGTCAGACAAGAATGTCTAGCACAAAATTAATAGATAAAACTGGGAAGAAATTGTTACTCTCTAGAAAACAAGAAAACAAAAAGCTGTTGACCCAATCAAACAATAAATGACAGTGAGCTCAGTCCTGAATAAAGCTCATTAGATTATACCAACAAACATTATTAGTTCAAGTTACCACTTCAGCAAGCAGGTAGGTACCACAAAGGGAAAGCATGAAAAAAATGCTCGCAACGCATCATCAACTATGGGAAGCCTCATACCAAGTTTGTAGTGCCCAAAATGGGTTTAACTTCCAGCCAACAATACAAGGCCAAACAGCTCAAAATTGTTAAGGGCCGTTAGTCAGTGTTAATCTGCTAAAGTGGTGCTGCTGGGAGAAGCAAAGTGACTAAAAACCTAAACTTCTGCACAATATCAATGAAGGGCTGGCAGGCAAAACCACTTAAGCTAAATTCTGGTGGTATCATCTAGTATCTAGGTTAACAAGTGGATGGCTGGTAAAAAACTGATCCCATTGGCATTTTCTTTATGGAACAGTCCATTGTTGAGATAGCTTTTAACAGAGAGAATTATCTGTAAGTGAGAAAATAGCCATTAGAATATTAAAAGAAAAAAAAAAGAAAAAGAAAAGCAACAGTAAAACAGAACTTCCCTTCAGGGGATACAAATGGCCACTAAACCCCTCTAAAAAGTTTGCAGCATGCTTGTCAAGGATATGCCTCATTATTTGGCCCACAGAACTTATTATTTCCAATTACCAATAAATAGCATAATAAATTCATGGTGAAACTGAATAATAAAGCAGAATGGAAAGCTATGATAAGAGACAATGACATGGTTCACCGCACCTTTAGGTCCAACACAAAACTTTCTTGCACAAACATTGCAAGCTGAGAACCATCCTCCTTATTAAGAAATACAGAGACGCTATCAACGTGCATATCCAAATAAAATACAACACGACCTTTCCCATATCCCAGTAGCCCTCTGACAGACGCATGCCCATGCTCTTCTGTCTTGTCTTCTCTCACTGAAGATTCACCATCTGCAGCTTTTGTCACATTTGTGCCACTAACCCCACTGTTTGCAGTGCTCAGATCAATGCCAAGACCAATTAAAGCAACAAGAGTGGGTCGGTTGCAAAAGACTTCCAACTTGGACATGCAAATGCTCATCTGAAAAAAAAAATAGAAAATTAACACAGCGGTAGGGATTCTCATCATTTATTTTTCTTTGAATTTATTATGAACTTAATGATGGTCATGTTAAGTTACCTGTGTATCAATACCACCATAAGCAGGCGAACCAGGATTCCGCGTCAAGAATGAAACAGAGACAAAATCAGATTCATCAGTGCCCTGTGCCTCGTAAAACACATCGCCAGACATGCTTTTTCCTTTCCCACAATCCTTGTCATGAATTAAGACTTCAGAAGAATCCGGCAAAGACATGAAATCTGGTAATGCATCCTTGAAAATATCATCATCCTCTATTGTTGCAGCAGATAACTCTATCCCATGCAGATCTGAGATACTATGGGACGCAACTGACTGGTCTTTCTTCACCACTGAGCAAGCTAAATAACGTGGAGCTGAGGATGAACCTCCTTGAAACTCATCTTTAATTTCCAGTGAGTGCAACTTCATCTTAATGGTTAGGTCCCCTTCCCACCGAACAACATTCACCTGCAAAGAAACAAAGCTACCCTAATTATCAACGGCAAAAGCCAAAATCAAGTAACAGTTGCAGATCCATACAATTTAGGAATAATTCTTACATGAAAAAAAAAAATAAAAACTTTTGTAAGTTCAATAATGATAAAGTAAGTGAATTTACTCTCGAAACCCTGAAAAAGCCAAGCAGAATAAAAGTAGGGCTACCGAGTCGACTAATAAGGATGGATTATTACGCAAAAGTGTTATAAGAGGAAGAATTTTGCAGGGAACATAAATACAACCATGCGAATCTCTAACTCAACAACTCTCTGCAGTTTAATGAGTGTAAATGTGTAAAGCAGTTGCAGTCACCTGCTTTCAGCCAACTTCTCATGACAATATAAGTGAACAACCTACTTGCTTTATCTTTACAAAAATGGCGTCAAACAAAAACAGTTCTCATATCACTGAGGGTACAACTCAGGTGGGTTGGGTGGATTAAAAGCTCAACCCAACTGGAAAAACAATAAACCCGAGTACAACCCGAATTTGATCCAAACCCCTCAATCGGGTGGTTGGCCAGTGCTTAAATATTTTACCTCGGGTTAAACAACTGGGGCTCAAATCTGGGTTCAGTTATGAAAAAATATATGGATTTGGAGAAAGGATCTCAAAGATTGGGTATCTATAGTTAAACCACGTTGAATACTTTACCAAATGGGTGGACAGTCAAAAACTTTACCCAGAAAAGCAATTCCAATAGTGGTATCCAAAATGCCTATAAGAACTGAATTCATTGTTGCGGGATAGGGATGTGGAACCAAAGAAAGGGATCTTTGGGATGACAAAACAATCGCAGGTTTCTTCATTTTTGGACAAAGAAATGTAAATATATTTCTTTCCTTCGCATTTTGCATTGAAAGAACATAAAAAAATATGGTTCAATTCGGTTTAAAAATTGATGTTTGACTCTCGGTTTTGTGGGTTACACAAGTCATACTAGAATATGGGCTCAATTCAGGTTCGAGTCACGGCCCAATAACCTGAAACCCTCTATCCAAGAATCAATTTTGTTCAAGATTAAGTTGGGGTCCAGTTGATCCGTCCAAATTGCACCGCTAGTATCATCTAACAATGAATCTCCACAGGTAAACATGTCATTCTTCAAAGTCATAGGATTAAAACCCAAAATAACATTAGAACCACCAGGTGCCATGTTCAAAAGAAGTATGCACAGCAAAACCAACAGCCCGAAGAAAGAAACAGACATGGAAAACAAGACCTATAAACAAAAAAGGAGCCATAGATACCCAAAATGCTACATATGATTAACCACCGAAGCAGCCCAAAAAATCAACCACCCCCCCCCCCAAAAAAAAAATAAAATAAAATAAAATATAAGAATCAGGAAAAAAAAATCTTTCAATGAACTGGAATTTACTAACTTACAGCATATTTTTCAACATTGTATGTGGTCCAGTTAACTAACCGTTATAAGAATAGTCTTAAAAATGAACACATCCATATCTTATGGACCATAGTCCTCTCCTATGGTGCAGATGGTATTAGGGAAAGCAGCAGTTCCATGGAGATGCTAGGGAGTTTTGGAGCAGATTGCTGGTATTTTGCCGGGGTTGGATTACCAGATTTGTCATATCTTCAGAGAGGTAAATTGTGTAGCTGACTTCTTGGCAAATTATGCAGTGCAAACTGGATGCTCCACTGATTTTTCTGTCTCTGCTTCTTTGCCTTCTGCTGGGAAGATGCTGCTGCTTCACGATCAAAGATGTATGCCTGTTTTGAGGAAGAGGGTTGTTTCTTCTTGATGTATGGGTTGTGTATTGTTTGTAATTTTCATTGGTATAGCTGTATTAGCCTGTTATTCTTTGTAATTCTTTTTTGGTGATTAATAAAAAAAAAAGATATCTACTTTTTTACTTGAGACCGAGGAGAAGAACATCACCCAAATATTTTCAAAGGTCCATCAAAAAAATGATTTTCCTTAAGTATGTAGTGGTGCCGACGTATAGAGTAGTTCTCTGCTGCCACTTGATGACACATTAGCAAGAGCATTGTTTTAACTGGAAATTCATGCCCAAGATATTCTGTTTGACCCCTTCATATTTTCAGCTTATATTCCACAAAGGCATGAGCATTAAACCATACTGACAACTAACTTTCCCGTAAATAACACCCATACAAATATTTAACTTCCAAATAACAATTAGATAACAGGCAACAAGAAAACGAAAAAATAAACGATCATTAGTATACAAGCTGGATATACGGACCTTTCCCCCACTGCCAAGAACCTCAAGTATTAGAGTCTCCTCAGTTGTCTGAAGCAATCCATCTCCAGCCTGCAAATTGATCTGATGAGGGGAAAAGACAGTTGTTTAGCAGTATGCTTAAAAGAAATGGGACTAAATGAGCATATTACAATCACAGAAAAAACATATAAATCACATGGATGTCTTGTTAGATACTTTTAGAACAATAAATACATAAAGATAATGAATTACATCTACCTTTCCATAAACTGATAACTTGGTTTCTACTAATGTCCCATGAACAACAAGGTCGGCTGTCTTCAAGCTGGAGGCCTGAGTTCCAGCAAACTCTGCTACATCATCACGTAATCCTTCAAGCATATCAAGTGAAGGAGGAGCCTACATCGAGCATATAGAAAAGACTTACATCTGTTTGGAAATCTAATTACAGCAGAGACAACAAAAAAGTAAACAGAAAAAGATCTTCTATTTTACAGAAGCTCGGTAAGTGGCTTGTGTAAGTCCTCTCAACCAAGTAGCCTTCTCCTCCTCATCCCGAAACTCTATTATCAGTGTACTAAAAGATTCCAGAGCCTAAAAACAAAAGGGACAAATTTATTTGCACAAATAATAGAAAAGAAACATCAGTCTTAAGCAGAAACAAGAACAAAGGACATACTTATTATCAACTTTACTCACGGGAAAGAAGGATATATTCATATTACCCCAACACACTCCCACAAAGTGTATCAGATGAGGATTTCAAGAACACAATAAAGTTTAACCCTTACTAACAATACAGGAATTGGACCAAGGCACAGCCAAGTAATAGCCTTTCAAACAGTTCTTAAGTTAAAAGAATTTTTTTTACAATAATTTCAATAGTAAATAACGAAGAAATTTTTTTTTGAAAAACAAAGGTACCAGAGGTGCTGATAATATTGATATGAATGACAAGCAAAACAATGACAGACCAAACTAAAGCAGAAAAATTCAAAAGGATAAAATCTTCAAAGAAATAAAAACTTCACCAAAAAAAAGAACTATCAAAAGTCCAAGAACCATATAAGTAACTCAGAACAACACTAAATTCCACAAATCCGCACAAACAAACACCCCAAAAAATCACAATACAGGGTCCTCATTGTGTAGACATTAAAAGAACTTCAAACTAACTACGTGTGTTTTGCACCTTTGCAAGGGGCTCTTTATCCTAAACAAGTTTTCAAAGATACTGCCTCCTAGTGAGTGCCACTTGACTTAACTCATACTGCTTTAGTATTTTACGATACACAATGAGTTAGCTCACCCTAGCAGACTCTGACCCTTTCTCCCGGCCGGTCATTGTAGCACGTGTCACCGAGGGCATACATAAACAGGTAAGTATCTAAACAATCGTAGCATGTCACTAAAATGGCTAATAGATTGTTTTTCTTGTGTGCATATCCCGCACGAGAGAGAACAATTTTTATGAACAGATTATTTCAAAGGAAATTTACATTAAAGGGAGCATTCCATTTTTTTTGGCCACCTTTGCAAAAAATGCAATCTCAATAGCATTTAGAATCAGTTGCAAATAGTTAAATCCAAATGTCATTAAATTATTTTAATACAGAACGTGCCACAATAAGCAAAAAGCAGAGAACTAAAACTACCTAAAGGAAAACTGGAGATGTAAATGATACAGTCTTAAAGATCTAGATTATGCAAACAATACTGAACATAAATATGATGCTTAATCTAAGCAGCACCACCTGCAGGAAAAAATTGGCTATTATAACAGGGTGAAGCTAGAATTAGGACATTGGGGACAATTAATAAAGGCAGAACAACAGAGTTGATCAAGCCACCTTATGAGCCTTTTTCGTTTTGCAGCTCAACCGCCCCCCGCGAGGGGGAGGGGGTTTAGAAGAAAGGGGACATCAATCTTTGCCCAAAACATAATTTTGGAACCTCATTTTTTTTTTTTTGAGGGGTGGGTGGGGAATGAACTCACTAGGCACATTCAAGATGATGTCTCATGGCGTATGCTATTTGCAGATATCTAACATCGATCATTAAAAATGATGAAGAGATTGGAAATGATGTAACTCATAAAATCAAACCTAGTTGCCTTAAGTGAAGGAAAACCTCTGGCATATTATGTGATAGAAGTATACCAATAAAATTGAAAGGCAAATTTTACCGAACAGATATAAGGACAACAATGTTGTATGGGACGAAATGTTGGACAACTAAGAAACAACATAGTGACAAAATGAGTGTAGCAGAAATGAGAATGTTAAAGTGAATGTGTGAGAAAATTAGGAATGATCGTATTAGAAAAATGGTAGGAATAGCTCTAATTGAGGATAACTTGAGAGAGAATAGATTAAGATTTTGGTCATATTCAATAGAGGCCAACAGAGGCACCGGTTAAAAAAAGTGATAGAATTTCTCTTAATGGTACTACGAGTAGGGGCAGACCTAAATTAATATTGAACGAAATAATAAGAAAATATATGAAAATATTTAAGTTAAATGAGTGTGCATGACTGAAATGAATGGCGAAGAAAAATTCATATAGCCGATCCTAAATGATTAGGACATAAGGTTTGGTTTGGTTGGTCGATTGGTAAGGGATGGGGGCAAACTCACACCTGGCGGGGGCCTACACATAGTTTCCCATATGCATTTTAAAGTAAAGAAGCACAAGAACTATGTCACCAATAGTTTCACATAAGCATTTTAATTTACAGAAGCACAAGAACTATGTCACCAACATTTTGGAGGACCACCCTTATTGCAAAATCAAACATAAGCAATGAAGCACCCAACGAAGGTAAACGAATATTGTGCAGATGAATACATAAAATTCAAGAGAGCTTCCACTCAAAGTTGGGTTACCAACCTTCTGGGTATCGAGGCCTCTAACACTAACAGAAACACAAGATGGTGAACCGCTAACATTGGTAGAAGGAACTTCATATACTTGTTTACCAGCCATGCTGCAGCATCCCACAATTAACACAGGTGTTTCCAGATAATCATACTAAGCAGCCACTCACTAAAAAGAGAGTAACCAACAAAAAGAGATGCACCTTAAGCAACGCTGGTAACTCTGTGAAATTTCAGATTCCAACACATAAAAATACAATCCAGATAACACAAGAAAACAAGGCTGCCATGCTGGAACAGAATAGCCTATACCCTGAATAGAAATAAGTTCCAAAAGGGTTGATCAGTAACATAAGAAAAAAGTTTATAACAGTTGAATTGGGCAAGAGTTGGGGGTTCTAAACGACATATACCCTCCAAACAAGAATTCGAGCCTCAGTTGCAAGATCTGGGGGATTCCAAGGGGCAAGTTCTTCTTGAAAATTTTCAACAACATGTTGTGTGCCGCTTTGCATTGTACCATAGAGTATATTCAATAATTCCACTAGTCTGAAATATCTGGCTGGTGAAAAGTGAATGCCAAGGCTAGGCACTTGAACAGAAACACGGGTTGATGGGTGACTTGGATGAGGTACTTTAATCTTCATTAGACAAACACAAAGGCATGCTTAGGACGGGATTATGCCACCCAGTATAACAGCAGTAGTAGGACTTAATAAACCGAAATCCAAGAGGTAAGATGTACCTGATCAACAATCATAGCCATTCCACACCTATCGACCAGAGAATAGACATCACTGGCATCTTCCAAAATATGAGAGATGGAAGGTTGACCATAATAAGTTGGAGTTGCCAGAGTGCACATCTGTCTTTCAGAACCACAATCGGTAAAGAAAGCAGCTATATCCCTTCCGNACATCACTGGCATCTTCCAAAATATGAGAGATGGAAGGTTGACCATAATAAGTTGGAATTGCCAGAGTGCACATCTGTCTTTCAGAACCACAATCGGTAAAGAAAGCAGCTATATCCCTTCCGGATATATAAAAACGAGAATACAGACTTCGCCCCTGATCATTAGGCTGACCCTCCTGCTTCAATAAATCCGATATGTATAGCATATCAAATACAATATGATAGCAAAATTAGAGGACTGAACCGACATAGCAAACCTTGGTGTGCAAAGTAAAATGACCAAAATCCACCAGAAAATGACTATCACATTTGGAGGAGGCACAAGTTCTTATTGGAACTCTGACTTTTGGAGCATCAAGGTCGATATCAAGAGCAAATCTGTGACGCAAAATTTGCAAATGAAGATGTATTAGCATAATGTTAAAAACCTTCTTCCTAGAAGAAAAACATAATCAGAATATGCAAAACCTAACAGTTAGATACACACACCATAATAACATTATTTCCCCTGCTAATGTGATGCATAAAGCACAATAAATCAATCACCTTCTAGTGGTCAAATGAGTCACAATAGACTAGATAAAAACAAGTTCGAGACCACGAGGATAAATGAGATAATATCAGCCAGGAGTGACCATTTTAACTTTAGCAGCAATATGGAAAATATTTCAAAATAAGAGACAATAGCAGTAGTATAGCTGAGGTTTGCAATCAGCACACTCCCACCATTCTGCCACCAAGCCATCCAAACATTCAACGTACTAACCTTAAAGAATGCTCTAATTCTAAGAAACTCACTCCATAGTTAATGTTTTAGGTAGAGCAACTGACATAGCGAAGCCAGTAATATTAGTTTAAAGTTGAGTCAACAACATTCAACAATACTTAAGTCTATCATTTCTTGTCATGTCATGCATCCATCCACCTCTCAACATCCTCATAAGTAGGATCAGCTACGCTAATCATAAATGCAATTCGCTTCTCTGTTCATGTAACATTACTGCAACGCTAAAAAATTTATACACACCCCATCCCTATTGAGCGCATGCGCACAACAGGGGTCATATCTCAACATCACCCCAAATCTGTTTTTTTCCATTTTATTGTGAAGTATATCACCCGAAATTGTAGAGTGCCCACCAAATACAAACTGAGCTATAACTTGTAGTTGTTGACTTGTTCCACCATGACTGCCAAACATTGTACGTGGATGCAGTTGCTAATTTTTGATTTGGCACATGCAAAATAAATACCACCATTGTTAGATCTCTGAGGATTTTAATGAAAGCCTTCCATTTGCTGTTCTTCTTCTGATGATTTGATTCAACTTCTAACCAAAAAGATTTATCTTGGTTATACTACATCTCTTCAACTAGAAGATGAACTCATGAAACACTCTCTACCCCTTTAGTTTCTTCATAAAAAAAAAATTACACAGAAATCTCCATTTTGGACAGGTGGGAAGAATTCAAATTGCATGATCAGAATACAATTCACCAAGTCGATTATTAAAAAGGAAGAATATGTCCAAAAAGGGAACCTGCTTTGTTCCTCTAATACCATTTGAAATTGCTCTTGAGCTCTGCGAGTCACCTTCTCAATCTTATTCTGCACTTGCCATTTAATGACTAAAACTCAAGTTGTCAAGAGTAAGCCCAAAATATCAGCAATAATCAAATCATTACCTGCAATGCATTTGCGGTTTCCAGTGCAACTGTGGGGCTAACTGCATTACTCCTCTTCAAAAATTCAAGAAAGCGATTATAACTTTCCATGAAAACCTGGCAAACCATTTCATAGGATAATTTAGTTTTAAATGCAATCTGGAATATTCGCATAGCCAATAATAAAATAAAATGAATAAAGGGCGCATCCAAAATTTAAGCCTCACCCAACCTACGAAAATTAAACAACGGGATTTTGGAGCTGAACATTAAAAAAAAGGATAGAAACAATAGATATACCAGCAAAGGCACGGAGTTTGAAATGCACAAAAAATAGACAATTCGTATGACAGGTAACTAGGCCCATGTATGTTGAACTATGACAATAAACCTTTCCACGATATCAACCAACAAACCATATAATTCAGATGTCCTTAAGAAACAACACACACGAGATTTTCACCTGTTATTGCTGATAATAATACACTAAACTGTCCTCCCTTTCCACCAGGATTTTCACCTCACATGCAGAGAGACTTAAAAGACTTCAAAACAGAACACGGGTTATGAAATATTGTCGAAGGAACTGAGCACTTCACAAAAAAGTCACCACATGTTTACTTTCTCTTCATTTCTTTTTCAACATAGAGACAATAGAGGAGTACAGATGTGGTCACCTGAGGCCCCCATCATGATAGAAGGTTTAGATGCCAATCATGAAAAAAATTGGAACTTTCCAATTTTAGATCACCAGAGTATGGAGGCACTCTAAAGCCCTTCAAAACATCCACTATATTATGTTTCTAGATACAAGGTCATCTCAAAAAATTCATACTCACTGTGGAATTGAATTGAGTCAATTGTTTTTTTGATGCAACATGCTGACAGAGTATAACCGTACACCACGTTTGAGAGGGTAGCAGGCAGCAGACACCACAGACGAGGGGAAAACTATTTCCATTTACAAGCATATTGGTGTACAATATACAATAGGATAACAATTTGGGACACAAACATTCTAGCAAAGAGAAGTAATGAATACTCCTAAAAAATAAGTGAAGGATAATGAACAAATTACCGTAACATGGCAGGGAGAAATTGTTGCTGAAAGCCTCCAGTCCACATTCTCCCCTACTGGTGCATATACAAAACTAGCAGCTAATGCATTCAACTTCTGCTCACTAGACACACTCTGCGAAACCATGTACTAAACATGTCAATGCACTTGAGTCTATGCCATGTCAGCCACCAAAAATAAATTCAAATCACCAAAGTTGAATAGGAGGAAAAGCCCAAAGTCCAAAAACCTCTTGAAGCAAACACAAATATACAAGAGAGAGAGAAAAAAAAAGAAGAAGAATACCAAATCAAGTTTTAAAGANCGAATCGATACAAATTAAGCGATTTTGAGTGAGATCTTAACGGGTTTGGGTAATAAACGGGTTGACTCGCCAAATACGTTTAATAAACGGGTCGTGTTCGGGTGAAATCTGTCAAACCGTTTATCATATGTTTGCTCATTTAAATAAAATTAATATAATAACAAATTAATAATTATTTTAAAAAATTAGCCAGAAAAAAAAATAGAAGAAGTAAGAAATCGATAAAAAAAAAAAAAAAAAAAGCTGTAGTTTTCTTCAACTTGAAATTATTGTGGTAACAGCATCTCGCGAATATGTAAAAATTTCAGAATAGAACAAAAATGAAAACAATGATTAAGCTTTCAACTACAACTTACAAACCAATTTGGTTACAGCAAGTTCGACCGATAACATTAAATACCTAAAGAAGTAAAGCCAGTTGAAATTGTAAAACACAGAAAACAGAGCAAAGTGTAAGCGAAGTAACTTTTTCATATAACTAGCCAAACTTGAGAAACCCATCGGTTATCAGCAAATGAAAATCTTGCACTTGGAGAATAGAAACCTTCAAATTATGCGAATACAAACCTGGGCAAGTGAACCTTCAGGAGCAGACAAACCATAAAATTTCAATGTCACATCACAATGAGTGGTCCTATGTTTAATCTTTGTGGAAACATGAAGTTGCTCAAATCTACCACAAGCTATCTCAGTCTGATTTATACTGATGATTCTGGCAGCAGCTTGGCCAATTTGTACATTTACCAAATAGTGAATCATATTCTGCAGATCCTTTCCAGAATGTGATGTCATGTCCTCATCTGGCTGGTTGCTAAGTAAATTATTAATTGCCTGCCATTCTTCTTTAGTCAGTCTTTCTTCCAACAACTGAGATCTCTCAGAAGTATTCCCTTCAGAGGCATCTCCAGTGGGAGTACGCCTGTGATGATACGGAATTATAATCAGGCCAAGGATAAATGGATAACAAGTAAAAGAAGAATATACAGTACAAGCTACCGAGAGGGAAAAAAAAAAAAGCAATCCTAAGATAAGGTGATACAGTTGCAAGAAATCAGGAAAGACAATCAAATTAAACAAACCATGGAAAGGAAAACCAGCTTCTCTTTTTAAGCAATCTCTGTTCAGCTGCTTCTTTTGATTTTACAGATTCAACCTTGGCATGTGCTATGAATCTGAAACATACATACACCATCTCTAAGGGTCAACAATCATGAAAGGTAAAGGAGATAGTTCAAATATGAACTGCATTCCACGACACCTAATATCTATAAAAACTCATATGGGCAGAGGAAAAAAGAAAACAAAAAGCAGACAATACAATTAAGATGGAGTGAACAATAATTGAATACTGGACGATATATCTATTGTAAAGTTTACTCCTATNGTAAAGGAGATAGTTCAAATATGAACTGCATTCCACGACACCTAATATCTATAAAAATTCATATGGGCAGAGGAAAAAAGAAAACAAAAAGCAGACAATACAATTAAGATAGAGTGAACAATAATTGAATACTGGACGATATATCTATTGTAAAGTTTACTCCTATACTGCAACCAAGGATCAAAATTTCGTTTCGAAGTACCGTTTCGGTCAACTCAAAAATAGAAACGTTTCGGAAACATTTCGGAAACGCAATGGAAACGCAGAAAAAATATGGAAACGCATAGAAACACAAATGCAATCCATTAATTTATAAAGATATGCTAAATAATTTATTAATTCAACATATTTATTAGGTTAACATCAATTTATACAAGAATAAATTTAAATTTGAGGGAAAAAAAGGCTTGACTTGAGGCGAAAGTCACTTAAATTAGTTTCAAACACTTAATTTTTATGAAATAAACACATTTTTACATAATATTAAGGTCTTATA